ATTAAGAGTACCTCTAATTACGGAAAAGTTATTCGGGAAAGAAAACTATACTTTTCTTCTAAGAAAATTATCTTACGGAATATTTCCTTGAAATAGTCTTGCTAAATAAAGTTCATAGGAATCATTTCGTCAGACTTTTCATATATCATTATAGCACCACCTGCCGGTTGTGAAGCGAAAGATTGATTATAAAGCAAGGACTTGCCATTTCTCTAGAAACTATTAAATAGTAGCTTAACTGTGAGCTTCTAATAAAACAGTAGTAATAATAGAGCATGAAGCTGCTTAGGTAGTAGAATACATAGCATAGCAAATTCAATTTTTTTTTTACTAATCGTCAAACAATAAAAGCTCGTGGCTCCCATGATAAATTTTTAAAGATAATGGCTCATATACTTAGCAATGAAATTAAATTAATAGAAATTTTTAAAAAATTATTCGAAAGTTTAAAACGATAATGACTTATACACTTGATAATCCAAATAAATTGACAGATTTCGTTACTTAGGAGCCCTACGCTTTAATTATTCGCTATATAAAATTTTAGATAAATTCTGTAAATACTTAATCTGGTATTATTTCCATTAAACAATTATACGATAAATTATTTTCACTTTGTGCATTAACTATCGTAGCTATTTTGAATAAAAGCTTGTTTTATAAAATCCATTTTTTAATTGTATTTTATTTTCCATTTTATTTCTTTTTAGTCTCAATTACACATTTATCAGTGACAAAACTTTTAGTCATTATTAAAGCTTAAGCAATAAATTATAAGAAAATTATGAAATAAATAAATAACTGCACGTCAAGAAATCGCTTTGAATATTCAGTTTCGAAAATTTGATTTAATAAGAATATGTTATTGCATCAAATCGAATGTTACGATGCTCATCGAATGGTACGATGAGCATTAAACGAATATCGCCAATTAAGTGAGCCAAAATAGCAAAATTTGTCATTAAATGCATCAAGATGGCAAACTCAAAGCAATTTCCCGCTAAAAATGCTTTTTGTTCTCCTCCGCTTCAGCCTGCAACACATATTTTTATAAGAAATGTTGAAAATCGCACAATTCATATTTTTATCATTCTTTTCTTTTTCTTTTTCTTTTTTTTTTTTTTAAAGGGGCTAAAAGTTTGTTTTATAATCTGTGAAAATTTCAATACTTTATACCCGATATATTTTTTGATGTTAAAATTTTAAAATCATAAACATCAAATAACCGAAAGGATTGAGTGATTTTAAAAATCTCGCCAGAATTTCAGAAATTAAGTTATAATTTTCATTCAAGTTTCTTTTTTTTTCCAGGACATTTTTTCCACTTTTTTTGATAATGCAAAAAGCAGAATTTTGATATGTTTAGTTCTTTATTTTTTTCCGTTAAATTAAGAGTGAAAAAAGATATGAAAAGCGTGGATGTATAAAAATTAAACAGATTTAGATCTGATCCTAGAATACGGTACATACGGGATTTGACGACTTTTCGCCACTGGTGATTTATCAGATGGGTTCAAAATCACTTTGGTGCAGACGACAATTTTCAAAATAAAGGCCGATGCCATGACACCGTACACTAGGATTTTACCCAGATGTATTAAAGAGAAAAAAACCGAGAGATGATATTTTAGCAAATAACATTTATTCGTAGATTCCTAAAAGTGCGAATTTATGTTCGCGTTTCGAGCCTGGCTTTAAAGGTTTCACATTGGTAATGCAGTTTTTGAATTTGCATCGTATATAGAAAAGGATGGGTCTGTATCCGTGTATACATTTAAGATTCAATTTTGTGTGAAAAAAAGGATTTTTCGAAACGTTCTTAAAGCCAAAAGGACTTTTTGTGAAAAAGAACTACTTTTTAAGATTTAAACAAATTTCAGTTTCGTTTGAAAGAGAAACTTTTGCCAGGAAATCAATATTTTAAATATTTACATCTTTCAAACCCTGCATTATTCTCACTCTGGTCGACTGTCTTTCCTGGCTAAGAACTTCTTAAACCCCAAATGTTCTATGTTTCTCGGAGGGGAAAACAATAAAATCTGATGTAGCCAGCACATGACCTTCCCCCAGTTCTATGTTTTAAATAGCAACGTGCTTTAATTAAAGTGTCATTTCCGGATGATCATCTTCTAAACAAAATCTAGTAGTTTATTCCAACAAATAGATAGGCTTGTAATACGAAATTTTGGATTATACATAAATTTTGGCTATTAGTCTTAACCCTCAATTTTGTGCCGAATCATTTTTAAATAAAAGGATGTTGCCACTAAATGTTATCATTATGTATCATTTTTGAATAAATAATAATGCGAATATGAAAAATATATGGCAACACTTAGCCATACAGACTGTTGTGAATACTTAAGGGAAGCTCCTTTTTAATGTGTCATTTTATTAAGAAAACTCAACATTGGTATCATGAGCTAAAAGAAGATTTCAAAAAGTGTATTGGCTATACTTATACTGTAACACTGTATCCGGAATTCTAAATACACTAGTAAGCTCTCAATTCTCTAATGAATTGAATAATGCTTTAAATTAAAACTATCAATCAATTTACATTGCGAGAAACAAAAACAGAAAGGTTTCATATTTTAAATTACGTCCAAAGGGGCGTTTTTTTAGCATTTTGTGTGTTACATTTATTTATTAAATATCACCTTCTTCGCACTTAACCTAATTCATTTCCACGGAATCCGAAATAGTTTAAATGAGCATGCTTTAGAATTCCATTCAGAACTTGCGCCTGAATAAAGGGTTTTTTTTTTTTTTTCTGAACAACTTTCCATTGCTCGCATTGAAATCCTTCAGTTTGTTAAGCAAATTCGTTAAAGTTTTACAAAATATGAATCGATAAAAAACAATTCAATTTGGCTTCACATGCATATTCGGAGGATTACGTCAGCAAATTGTGGCTCTATGTACCGTTTTTATCACGATCGAGAAATTACATACATTATATATATTTTTTTCATTATTTAATTTCTCAATATATTCATTCATGGCTCTAATATTGTTGCAACTTTTGAAACGTGAAACGACATTTATAACCAAGCAAATTGCAAACGAAAACAATAGTCCTCAGGACAAGTCCCAAAGACTAAAAAAGGCATTCTATATTTCCTTCCCTTTCTACTGGGCCGTATTGCCAAATCAACTGCGTTTTTTTTTTGTTTTTTTTTTTTTTTTTTTTTTGTCTCGAAAGAGACTAACATATTATTACATTTATATTTAACTTGTTCTAGTATAGGTATTTTGACACAAAAATCGGGACGTTTTCTGAAATGAATGCCGATTTTTTTTTTTTTTTTTTTTTTCCTATTTCGTTCTACGACTCACATTATGCCAAACTGCCCATTTTGAAAATTCGCAAGAATGCGTTTTTAGAAATTAGCTCTCAATTTTAGCTTCTCATGTTAATTGAATTGACTTTCCTTCATATTTCGAAATTTAGGTTCATTCGAATAATTTGCGATTTTTTTTTATTTTAAATCGTTTTTTAAATAATTTTTATATATTTTTCGGAAACTTTTGAATAAACCTGAATTTTTGCTTACTAATGTATATGCATTTCTAGCAACCTTCAAATTTAAGATTTTATACAAAATTCAGAATATACATAATTTACAATTTGGCGAGTCTGAAATTTTACAATTTTATAAGTGTTCAAATTGAGTTCCCATTGATTATGTTGGCGCAACTGAAAAAAAAAGCCAACATAATTTTTAAATTTCTCACCAAAATCGCAAAATTTAAAACTAGCAATTTGAGTCGTATAATCGAAATATGAAGAATTGGTATGCTATTTCAGAAAACGTCCGATTTCCTGTCAAAATACCTACGTTTGAGCAATGCTATATAAATCTAATATATATCCTAAGTCGCGCTTTCGATACATGGGAAACGTAATTTGAATTTCGCCAATTGGCACAGTAGAACGCTAGATATAAAACTATTTTTTCCCCCCTCAGTGTACCTGTCCTGTCCAACATGCCAACATACCTGTCCTGTCCAAAGACCAATTGTTTGTCACTCAAGTTGATTGCATAGATACTTTGAAAGCCATACTAACGATTGCTATGTCGAATGTTACAGAATAAATGTAAAAATATGGGACGAGAACTGAAATACCAACTTCACATTCCTTAAGTTACGAAACGGCCACACGTTGAACTTTACTAATATAGTACTTTTCAGAGGAAAAAACTAAATTATTGCAGTTACTTTTATAAGGTGTTTCTCCGGCTTTCTTGGCATGCCTTCGTGGTTTAGTGGTCTGCACGCTGGGACCGTATTCCAGAGGTCCGTGGTTCGATTCCCGGCGAAGGCGTTGCTCATTTTTCATCTCACCTGCTTTCAAAAATTGTCTAATATGTCTCTACAACATTTTCAAAAAGGTTTTGTAACCAGGAAAAACCTTTATACTCGCCCTAGATATAGAAGCCGTTTCTTCGCCCCGAAAGTTTCCTCCGAGAGTTTCTGTCACAGTTTGTTTCTAGTTCTCTGTGGTTATTAATTATTCATTTAATACTATCCATATTTTTATTTTTCATGCTTATTGCAACCTTTTCTCATTAAAAATTAATCAAAGGAAGAATTTTCTTAAATTGAATTAACTGTTTCCAATTAACTTTCAGAATCTTAAAGTAAAACGAGATGTTGCAGGTAAATTTTTAATAATATAGCGTTCTATAATAGTATCTTATTTCAAATCGCATTTAAAATTGAACATCTTAACAACTAAAATAATCACGGAATAACTTTTAGCGCTTTTAGCAAGACTTTAATTTATGTTTTTGTGCAATACTTAATTATTAACAGTTAGTTATTCTTATGTAGCTATTGAAAAGTGCAAATCTGAAATCACTTTTTGAATCTGAATTACAAAATAAGCAATTTTTTCTCATTGCAATCTTTTTTGCTTATCTCCTTGTAACTTGTAAAGTTCTTCATTTTCTTGCTAAAGAAAATCATATAACTACTTACGTTTCTTTCCACAGGTACTTTCATCAGCTCGTTCACTATCTTGTGCGGTTGCACCACCGAACACGGAGACAAGAGGCGATCTGTACTTTATAATTTATTAGCGGCTCTCCTGCAACTGCTTCTGGCTCCAATTATTGTGGGTTGGATCTGGAGTGTACTGTGGGGAATAACATTCGTCAATATCAGCGGTATGTAATTTCTCAATATTACTATTACATATTTATGCAGTAATATGACGATGCTGTGTTAACTTTTTTAATAAAAGTTACTAAACGTGTGTACGAAAAGAAGGGCGAAAATGGGTATAAAACGCTATAGTTTTTCATTATACAGAGAAACATATTCTGCTGAATGAATAAAAATATAGTAACACGTTTAATAAAATAGCATAGATAACCCAAGTTTATATAGTGTTCATAAAAGAAGTGTAAACCTTTACTTGAAAGAAAGCTACATAACACTTTTTTTTCCCTAAATTCTTTAATAGAAACTTATTTTACATATTTTGATAATATTTAATAGTATTTATATATTTAATAATTTCTTTGTTGATTGAAAAGCTGCATCAGCATGTTCGTTAACCTCATTGAAACAGCTTTAGTTTTAAAAAAAGTGTTAAGGAAATTTTCTCAAAGAAAGAAATCATAAAGGTATCTTCGTGTATAAGTGATGGCCGTTTCTAGCAGACAAATATCTCTATTATCGCGGGAAATGTTCATCTAAACAATAAGCGAGAAGGTGCATTATATATTCTTAAAGAATTTGGAATATCTTGAACTTGTTGAGTTATAAAGTTTTCCACTATTCTAAGATACATTATACAGTTATCGATGTTCTTGTCTTTTAAAATTTTTTCCGCAGTATTTTGAACTTCTTTACCTGTTGATCAAGAGAGTTTTTCTCCCTCCCTAAAGTCTGACACTCGTGCTAGTTTGCACTTTTTAAGTAAGTTGCTCTCTCCTTGTCCTTATACCACTACTTCTGACTTTTATATTTTGACATTTGTGATATACATTTACCATCATTCTAGCATCATATTTCACGAAATTCGCAGTTGCAATTTGGATCTGAAAGAAATTGGTACTTGCTATACTGTCTGAAACTTGTTACTTTCTGTATTTTTCTTAGTAATCCACAAAGTTGAATAGCCTGTATTACAGAGATACACCTAAAATACTGTACGTTTTTGCTCACAAGCTAGTACAAATATTCTACATTACTCTTAATTCTACCATAAAAAAAGATAAATATTCGTCTCTTTGCTTCAAATTTCGAAACGTAATCAAAATATCTTCTTCATGATCAGAGGGAGTTTTATAAAATGTATGTTCCAATATACATTTGTGTTCTAATATACATTAACATTTGGTAAGTGTTCCAATATACATTATCATTTGGTAAGTGTTCAGATATACATTATAATTTGGTAAGTGTTCCAATATACATTAGTTGTATTCTAATATACATTATTCATTTGGTCAATAAAATGCTTTATGGTTTATGAGTGAGTGTATGCATATATATTTAAGTATGGTGCTGCCAATTGCAACCAAAAAGGGAGGTACCCAACTACATGTTATATTAGTCCCATATATGAAAATTCAACCTTCTTAAGCTACTACTTAGTTTTTGAGTTATGCGAGATACATAGATACGTACGTACAGATGTCACAAAAAAAAAAAAAAAAGCTCCGCTGAATCCATTTTAAATCCATTTTACAATCCGTTTTGGAAAAAAGGAGTCCTTTATTCTGCCCGTACGTCCAGATGTCACTCAGAAACATGTTCAAATGGATTCAAGAGCGGTCAAATGAATATTTTCTTCGAAATATGATACCCGACAATTTTTGCGATTACAATACTTTCTTTACTTCGTACAAGGAAGTAAAGAAGACAGTTTTCAATTAAGATATTTTTAAAATTTTTCAGTTTAGAAAGCATTAGATCATTTTTACACATTTTAAGAGTTCATAAAGGTATTGAAAACCTAAAACAATACTTTTTTTTTAGCTTTGCTACGAGATGCGATCTTCCACATGGCTATACAAAATACCAAATAAATGCTTGTATGTCCCACAGTTTCGCATACATATATGAATGCATCTTTTTCGATTTATTTTACTACATTTCTGTCGTTTATAACAAATTAATACACCTTTTTTCAATATCATGTATTTAATTTCTTGCATTAATCCTTCAATAAATGTTTAATAATAAATTGAAACTTTGTTTACCTGCCTTTGCTCGAAAAAAAAAGTTAAGACATAGTAAAAATAATACATTTATAAAAAATTGATACCACTTAAAAGATAAATTTAAGATCTTGTATCATGTGGAATGGCAATAGTTTTCACAGTGGGCATTATGACAGAAGATGCAACTGAACAAACAGAAAACTGTCATCCAACCTGGTAAGAAAAGGGGAAAAAATGTGGTATAGTATAGACTTTTCAAATGTTCAGTAAAGGAATAATAGCACAGGAACCAATGAATCATCAGTTTTTTCCTGTTTCGTGATTCCATGACCTTTATCTGTTATTGTTACTATTATCATTTGTATTATTATTTTCAGTCAGTCTTTTTGCATTTTATTAATTGGATTGGGTGTGATAATTAGGTATTATTCCTGTATTGTGCAGTGTTATAGCCAGAGATTTTGCCGCTCCTCACTGTACACCACAAAATCTATAAAATGTCAAAAGGATATATCGGGAAATGAGTAAAAATTATGCTTTTAGATCCGAAATAAAACTTTAAGTCCTTCAAAAACACTTCACTTTAAAACACTTCAAACACACATTTTGAAGTGTTATTTTATGGAGACATTAGGTTATTTCGAAATAGGAGACGTGAAAAATGAGATTTGCCATCGCCGGGACTCGAAACACGGATCTCTCAAATACGAGCTGAGTGTATTGACCGCTAAACCACGAAAGCATGCTAAGAAGCCGGTAAACATACCTTATATACACCCCTTTTTAGGATGGCTGGGGATTAGGGGACCCAATCGCCAAATCCTGGTGATGGAGAATCATCATCCACCACCTTTTTTAGTTAGGACACCACTGTAGAGACATTAGGTTATTTCGAAGCAAGAGACGTGAAAATTGATCAATACCCTCGCCGCGACTCAAACCACGGACCTCTCGATTACACTCCGAGCGGGCTTACCACTACAGTTTAAAAGCATGCTAAGAAGGCGAGAGAAATACCTCACAATTTTACTTGTTTTGTATAAAAATTTCCTCGTAAACATTCTATAAGTTCGTTTCATCACCCCAACTGTTTTTCTGTAAACTATACATGTACAGGTAGAAGTGAGTTGGATACTAAAATTTCACCAGTGGGTCGTACAGGTACAGTCCCGTTGCACTGACTGTGTAGTTCCTCCCCAATTTTGAGCCCGGGGGGGGCGATGCCATGGTCTCCCACTCCTCTTTTCTTACCATATAATGTACAATAGGATTTCTTAATTACTTTCCAAGGTACTCATTTTTAAGTCTTAATTAATACGACCGAACTTTTCGAACGGTTCGAACTTTGCGAACGAGCTGGCTACATGGGTGATTGTCATGATTTTATGAACCAGTTTCCTGTAAAACGTTTTTCACGAAGATTTCCTCCTTTTAGGTAGATATCCCTCGTGTACTTTGCCATAATCCAACAACCTAAGCTAACCTTAGGTTATAATTTATTTCTCCCACTTTCCTAGCGTCCTTTGTGGTGTAGTGGTTCTGCACGCTGGGCCGATATTTCAGAGGTCCGTGGTTCGATTCCCGGCAAAGGCGTTTGCTATTTTTCATCTTTTCTGGCTTCCAATTAACCTAATGGCTCTACAAGTAGCGCTCGAACTAAAAGGGTTGTGGATGATGATTCTTCGCACCCAGGATTTGGAGACTAGGTCCCCTAAAACCCTAGTCGCCCTTTAAAAAGGGGTGTATATAAGGTATTTCTCCCACTTTCCTAGCGTCCTTCGTGGTGTAGTGGTTCTGCACGCTGGGGCAATATTCCAGAGGTCCGTGGTTCGATTCCCGGCGAAGCCGTTTGCTATTTTTCTTCTTTTCTGGATTCCAATTAACCTAATGACTCTACAAGGTGTTTAGGTGTTAGGTAACTTAGGTGTTTCTAAACCGATTTATAGTCAGAAAAAATCTCCTGTCTAACATGTAATACTTAGAGCATTTGTGAGAAAATTTCATAGTAGTATTACAGTACTTGTAACTGCTTTTTAGAGACTGTACTTTAGAGTTAACTGAAAAAATTCAGATCGGCCATCCTTCTACTAAACTCTGACCTATGTCTCTTTCCGAGAAGAACTCCTCCTTGTTAATATCATCATGACCATATTTTAATTAACATTCATATTTTTGATTTAAAAGTTTCGATGTAATAAGAAACGAATAGCAAGGAATGAAGTTGTTGAGATTTCTTTCTAATTTCTTTGGATACTCTGACCATTGCCAGAACAATTGTCTCCTTGATTTAATTTCATGTGACATCTAGCGATTCTTCACCTCACCAATGATCAAGTGGATAAAATAGATTAATACTGGCACACCTGGTGTTAAATCCCAAGAAAATGGCTGGCCACATAAGCATTTTCGTGATATCTTATGTCCAACGTAAAGCCAGTAACATAGTCACGCATGCATGATATGAATATGAACCAATTCGAAGTTTTAAGCCTTTCATATAGAATTTTAAACTTGAGTATATAAAATAATGTAAATTATATAACTATGTCCTGAGCCACTATAATATCTTACAACGTTATTTGATGTATCTCTTAATGCTAGATATGAGGGAACGCGAGACAGTGCTCTTGGTAAAATGATGGTGTCTCCGTCTCTCGTTAACTATCAACTGTCATCCACGAAGTCATCCCTCCGCTTGTAAAATCAATACTTTTTTCGAAGCAGAAAACATGAAATATGTGCAATGCTGTTGATAGTATTCGAAATCCAGATCTTCTGATTGCTAGCCGGACGTATTTCAATTACTCTGAGAAGGCATGCATTAAGAAGGAAGAAAATACCTTACATGTTCCCCCACTCAAAAGATAACTAGGGAGGAGAGGGCCTAATAGCCAAATTCTGATTTTGACGAAGTATCGTCAATCGCCTTTTAGTTCGAACGCCACTGTGGAGTCATTAGGTTTTTCGAAACAGGAATCATGAAAAATGTGCAATGTCCTTGCCGGCATTAGAACTCCAGAGCTTTCGATATGAGCTAGGTGTGCTTCCAAGCACATCACGGAGAATAGCTTGAAGGAGAGAGAGAACACTTTATACCCTTAGGTAAATAAACGGAATGAGCTTTTCTGTAACCCAATAAATACCAATCCTTCTTTTATAACTAACCCTTCTAATATGTTTGGCATGAAAAATGCCGGCGAGGACAAGCCTCTACATGTATTATTACTAATTATATTTATTTCCATTTCTTAAATATTCTTTCATGGAGTTAAAAGAAACGAAATTATAATTCATCTGTTGATAAAGCCGTCGTAAGCGGCGAGTACGATTTTGCCTTACCTAATATTTATATATCAATAAGTTATTCATAGTTTAGATTTTTAGTAACTCCAATTAATTTTATAAATCGAAAGTTACATGTTCTTTTCACTGATAGAGATTTCCGTGCATAAAAATATTTAAATATAAAATGAAAGTTAAAGTTTTAGTAACATTTATCAAGTCATGAAAAGGAATCAGTCTCCAGAATTAATAGCAGTACTTTTAACTTTCCTGAAAAATGTTTTTAAATTTTTTTCTATGTTGATTTTTTTTTTTCCCCTTTAGTTTATTATACTGTATTATTACTAACTATTTTGTGATTTGCATTAACGTTTGTTGATGTAAAACTTATTTTTATGTTTTGTAATTTCAGTTTCGAAAGCTGTTGAAGAACCCAACTCAAGTGCGATGCTGTAACTGAAACTTTTCCGTTAATACGTGATCCCATGGAACAAATACACCAAAGTCTAAAATCTTTCTTCTCTTTTCACCTGCACACCGTGGTGGAAGTTTAGCACGCCAGAACAAACTACTCCTAGTATTGCAGAAGAGGGAGGTGTTTTGGGAAGCCTCTGACGTGTTCACTTCGTAAAAAGCTAAAAAGACGAAGAGACAAATATAGCTGTTTTAAAATCTGAGGAGTGTTCTACCATTGTTCTTGTTACCTTTTATTATATTTTCAAGTCTGATAAATGTATACTCATCATACACATTTAAAGCACAATGTCCCGATATTAGAATAAAAAAGTGCCATCTTGTCAGCATTATATTGAGCAAACAAATCATTAACTTTAATCTGTGAAAATAGTTTGAAATAAACTGCATATGTAGTCTTTCCTGTTTTCGTAAATAAAAGTTCATCACCGTAATGTGAAGTACAAACTGCGTGAATGAAAACTTTTACAAAACTGAAGATGCGTCTGATCTAATGAAGAATTGCCAGCATTATTTGAATGATTAAAATATGTTGAATTAAAACTCTAATGATACGCTGGCAAAATATAAGAAACTGATAATTTGACTTCCCATTTCACTGAACGTACGTCAACTGAAACATTTTTTATAATCCACTTGAGTGTATCAAATTTTGAATTAGTATCTCACTTTAAAAAAAAAATACTTAACTGAAGAAAAGGTATTTGTGATTTATTTCTGGACTATAGTTTTATGTCCAGAAATAAATCACAAATACCTTTTCTTCAGTCTTTGTGAAGCCCAATTAACATTATTTTCTGCTTTAAAGGGGCGAAACTTTCTTTTGAAATGACGAAAGAACCACGTCTTTTAGAATTAAATGCAAATAAATTTGCATTTTTTTAAAACATTTTATCCCTGAGGCCTATTAAAGATCTGTAATCTCCATAAGAAAGGAAGATTTAAATTAACTTTCTTTCGATGTTAAATGGAATGTTAGCGTGCAAGTCTTCTTGTCGTATAATATGGAAATGGTAAAAACCGACAACGTATTTTATGTTGCAAGAATTCGCTGTGAGATATCTTGCATCATATGTTACTGAATATTTATATGAATGTTAAGAAAGACAGTAAGTTAATTAAATGAATGTTGAACGAGTTTCGACAATTGCAAAACAATGTTGCTTTCTGCCTAACGTGCTTGAATTTGCATAAAGAATATAATTACAAGACATTACTTATTGAAATCGTATCCATCATTTCCAGAGTACTATTTTTATCTTTAATAGTACTTAGAATAAACTTTGGAAGTTAAAGACGGAACTTTTCACTTGATATAAAGCGTATATATATTTAATACAGCTTTAAAATGCAGTTTTATTGGGTGTCTAACTTACTTGCTCGGAATTTTTAAACAATTTATTTTTAATTGTTAGTTTGCATCGGATAGTGGCACTCAACTACTAAGCATTTATTTATTTCTTGTGACTATATACTACTTACTGAATATAACACTTCTTGTATTGAATCAGGTTTTGTCGACCACAAAATACTTAACTGCAGCTCTATCAAAATGTAACAATATTATATAAACTGTTTGAAGAGATGCATTCATTACACGTAAACTAGTGATTGTTTAGAGTTACAGCAAAAGAAGCATTTAAACCATTAACTGGTTCCAGATGTCATGAAACTGGGAATAAAAGAAATAAATATTTGAATATATTTATTGTAGGTGAACATTACCCTATTTTTAGAAAGCCCTGGTTAGTTTGTAAGAATACAAATACTTTGAATAACGTTTATGTAAAATTGTACATTTTATTTTCCTGCAAATATTTTGAAATTTTGTCATCAAATGAAATTTGGAGAAATAATTACAAATAAATTTTGCATTATATTTTTATGAAAATATTTTGAGAAATTACAGATCAATGAAATTTATATAAATAGTTATGTGATTTAGACAAAAATGGTCATGCAAGTAAGTAATCATTTTGAATAAAATTGAAGTCCTATAGTCTTAATTGCAAAGAGTTTTATGTATTTCTGTTCTCTTTCATATCATTGAATAATTAACATGACTTCTTTTAAGGATGTTTAATGACAGTTATTTCATTTATTCTGATAGCATAGTAAATCGTAATTATTCAGAATTATTATTTCTGGAAAATCATTCTTTTTTTTTTTACTTTTAACTTAACTTTTTTTTAAATTTTAATTATGTGCCATTTTTATAAAATATATTTATTAACATTGTCACGTTATTAAATTAGCAGGATAATATTTTCCATACTGGCCCGAATATAAAACGGAACTGTATATAAGATGCACATGCATTTTTGTCAATGTCGTAAGAGTAGTATTTAGTACACCGTTAATGATTGTAAGACAGCTGCACATTTATAAACTTTAAATGTGGAAGATTTGACCTAAATATAAAATAATATATAAATAATATGATCCTAGATTTTCTTTAGAACAGTTTAAAAGGAAAAGAAAATGCTTGAATGTAAGACAATTTCCCATCTATGAACATGCTCATTTCTACTGAATATTAAATAATGGTTTTACATACTGCATTTCTTCATAGAACTCTAAATATATTTTCTTCCGATATAAAAGATAAATGATAAACTATTTCAGTGGATTTTTTCTGCTACAACTTGTCTGTAAAAATGAAGGTGACTTTTATAGCAGCATTTGAGAGAAAAAAGACCGCATTGTATTCGGGCCAAACGACATATACAGAGTGTTTTAATGGAACAAGCTTTAAGCCATCATAAAACACACTGAAGCATATAATTTCTACCTTGGAGTACATGGTCGCGCCTTAAGCGGTTGTTTATTATACGGCGCTTTCATTTCCCACACACGCCGTTTTTCCACACGCCTCTACCATTCTCTCGTAGAACGCTTAAGTTTCAGTCTTAATTGTGTCCTGCACCTTCGAAGATCTTGTTTACACTCTGAATAAGATATGTAACTAAACCGTTTATAACCGTTTAGGTATGTAACTAAACCGTTTGTAAACCGTTTAGAGGCATTCCTTAGCGACTTGACACGTATCAGTATACGAACGAAAATGCAGAAGTTCCTTCTTCATCATTTGTATTTGTTGTTCATCATTTGTTTATCATTCCGAAAAATGCAAGGTATGGAGTATTTTCAGCACCTAATCGCTTATCGTGCGACCATGCACTTGTCCTATTAGTTCTGAAACGCCTTGTTTATATTATACAAGACCTGAAACAGCAGTATTTCTCTTTTCAAAGGAAAAGAATCTTAAAATGCAAAGGTTAGAAACACTTTGTTTTAGGTCCTAAATCATAATCAGTTTTATAATAAAAATTTGCAAAATATCATTCAACCAACAAAATGTGTTCAATTAGAAACGATCAACTGGTAGAAACAAACTGCATATTTTTACGCTGTTGTTTGGAAAGAGAATATTTGATAGTAATTGACAAAATATTGTTAGTAATGAGTGGAAAATGAAACAAAAATAAACCAATCATACTGGTATCACAAAAAATGATAATTCTCTAAATTTCATTAATCCAATCTTTTTTGTAACAAAAAAAATATAGTCTAACTTGCTTTCGGCTTAGAAAATATTTGAATGAGAGTTCTGATTTTTAATAAATGAGATTTAATTATATTTCTATTTGATAATAATTAATATTATTTTGTTCTGTGGCGTAGGATATACTATATAAATTATCGTCTGAATAGTTTTGAAGGATTAAGTCGCATTAACAGCATTTTTATCATTATATTCTTTGCACTAAAAGTATTTGATATTTTTGTCATTTTTGAAAACATATGAATTTTTTAATATCTTTTCGTAAAATCTAATTCTTTAATTTTGGAACAATAATTTAAAATTATTTAATATAAATTATTACTTTGCAATAATAACTTCTGTTAAATAATTTTATTTACAAATTACTTTCAAGACTGATGAATAAATGCAGGCAAAATGTCTCTTATTTCTTTCAGCTTTCTTTTGAATTTGAAATTCGATTTTGATAATGAAATAAAAAATCATGATCGAGCAACGTCAAAATTCTTTTCTGTTTTCCATTTTTTTCTACATTGGAAAAAAAGCGACAAAGGATTTCTCAAAGACTTCGTGTCTGATGGCTTTTTTTCATTCTGGTTTTTTAATCTCTCAGATTGAACTAAAATCTTAACTCTAAATAGCATCTGTAGACATTAAAACAAACTCTACTTAGTGCAGTTAGAATCCAAAGACCTCCAAACTCTCAGTAGCCGTTTGATAACGTGTAACGAAAGTAAGAATGTTGCAATAAAGTTTTCATTGTCCTCTTGTTTTCATTCCAATACCTCTTGTGAGATAAGAACTTTGAAAACTCTTAAATCTAATTTAATGTAAATCTGGTGATTTTTAAAATTTATTTTTAAATAAAAATTAAACTAAAAAGAGTGTAATTTTAATTTTTGTATAAATATTAAAATAATACTTCATGAAATTGGTAATACAGTTGATATGAACACACATGATGAAAGTAAAGAGGCACAGTAACTGATTAATTTTTATGTGTTTCATATTTTCTAGAAATATGTATGCAAATTTTTACTGACAACTTTTGTCAATTACTATGAAAAGTTGCAAGTTCAAAAATGGTTTATATACATCTCACATATTTATATCTACAAGTTTTCAGTTGTAGCACCTACAAAGTGCTTATAAGTATGCAAATGCACTAACCATAGCACTAGTGTAGTGATGTATATTTGCATATTTTCCCTTGCTCTTCGATATCCTATTTACTACTATAAAATGTATAGATCTCATGTTTTATTAAACCCTTATTCGGATACTAATGAATTTAATGATTCATATTTACTTTTGTTTTGTAATTCTCCAATAAAGAAGAAAAATGGGAGAGATTACTATTTTGTGCAGTAATGCAGAGAATATTTGATATTTATTTTTAAAATATGCAAAAATGCTGCAAATTATGTAACAGCCGAAAGTGGTACATAAATTACATATTTTTATTAGAACAGACATATATTTTTAACTTTTGCACATTGGTCAAATAATGATCAATGATTACATATTTATTCTTGTAAATATGCTTCATAAAACTATTTTTCTGAAGTAATCAATTTAGGTTTTCTTTGAAAATGAATTATTGTATTATAAAATTGCTTTCTAAAACCAATGTTGATTATGAATATATTAAACCTTATGCATTTTTTTATTACAAGTATTATCGATCTGCAAAACTTCCATTGTATAATTCTTTTTTTTTTTTTTTTTTTTTTCTTTTCTCGGCCCAAATAATAATAAAAGAACTCTTTCAATATATCCATGTTTACATTTTTAAACAGTAGTTTACATGAATTCGGAAGAATATGAAAAAATGTATGCGATGTTTAACATATAGAGTCTTTCTTTTCTTCTAAATATGCACTCACGACAGCTTGAAAAATGTGTTTGTATTTATAAAATTACTTATTTATTTATATTAAAAAATTATCATTTATTATAAAATTTACCTGTATTTATAAAAACAATTATCAACAGCCTTCCTATAAATTTAATCTTTTAATCATTATAGAAATATTTATTTGAATAATATAATTTTTTGCTCCAGAAAGGCCTTCCCGAAATCTGATTTAAACTGGAAAACATTTTTCTTTGAATAAAGTAAGTAAATTAAAATAAATAAAGCTTACTATTTTCCTTAATATTTAGAGTATACATCTAGTGTCATTATTCTTAGTACAGAATCATATAGCAGTTCGTATATTCGTTCCAGTGAAATCCTAAAGTGAAAATAAAACCAACCGTCGATGTTATTATATTCATATCGCATGCAGCATACACAATATTTAAGAAATTTTAAAAAATGTAAACTGTAAAACTTTGATAGTAAATGTAGTTTTAATATGTACGCAGTGCTAATTAGTTTATTGCATAAAAAATACAAATTTTATAAATATTAAAAATGGATACGTTGTACATTTGCATTTTTTCTACATATTCAGCGCTGTTAATAAATTAGAAGTTATTATAAATAATATACTGAACAAAAAAGAAGAAAATTATTAAGCATTAATACGGTATGATTATGAAACAAAATTCATGATACAAGTTAAGTTCACCACTAAATAATCTCTTTTCATGTGATTTCAAAAATAATATGAGTGCTACCGAATAAGGGTTTATTATTTTCCTACACTTGTGAATACGAATCTCTATTTTGTAATTTATGAATGCTGAATGTTTATTTATATACACTTCCGCACATTTGCCAAACCATGTATAAATAAACTCTCACTAAGTAAAACTTTGTTTGCGTCATTTCTTTCACAAAATAAAACACAACAATATATATCCACTGTCATTAGTATGCTTATTAAAATGCATGTACGAATAATATTTGAATAACATATTTTAAAGTTTTTACTTGTACACGATCGTAACAATCAGTAGGTTTACTTGATCTGTTCTATCCTATTTAATAAGTGGAATGGCTGAGGCCATGGAATACTGATAACTTCATATTTCAATCAGTAAATAGAGCTCGATGACTACATGGATTTTTTGTGATCTCGATATTTTCGAGTAAACAGAAACCAATACTGTTCCTAAAATGCTTCGCATGAAAATAATCCTCATAAAAATTTCATTTAGTTCTTTCATTTACATTGCTGGCCACTAAAACTGCTGCACCAGGAAGGAAAGTAACTAGCAGAACCATATTTGCTATAAATATATAGTAAAACGGGAGGAAAATATAAAAAAATTTGAGGTGGCTTGGAGTACACAGGGGACAGAATTAAGTGCACACAGTTGTCATCTCAGACAGCTGTGTGCACTTAATTCTGTCCAGTGCAATTAATGTCTGTCTAATCGGCTACAATCCGAATGGGTATCAGATGGAACCGAGCTTGGATGACAGATACGGATATTTTATTCCATGTGGCTTCAGCTGTGCACAAGAGTCGAATGGTGGCGAGCAAGTCGCTCGGCAATCCGTGACCAGATTCCCTCAGTGAGTGAGAGATCTGGAGAATGTGCTGGTTAGAGCAACAGTCCAGCACCTTCTGTTATCAAGGAAGGTTAGGAAAGCATGGGTAACACGCGGCCGTAAAATACATTGTTCAAAGATGGCGTCACGCAGGCTTGAAAGATAGGCGCAACAACTTGCTTAACTTGTTAAAAATGTAACGGTACCTATGTACATCACGGGTATATGAAAAAGACGTGACCAGGACCATACCAGCACGCCAGATGCTGGCTCCGTATGATGATGACAAACGGAAGGCGGTAACGCTCGTTCTTCTACGTTAGCAACGTGCCTCCACAGACGAATACATCGATCATGATGCTGACGTAGAACCAGGGTTCCTATGAAAAGATGAACTGGTGTCCCTCCTGAATCCAGTGTAGTCAATCGTCGAAGCACTGTAGACACGGACTTATCTGTGTTTCAGCATCGAGGGAAGGTGCGACAATGTCACAGGGCTGACAGTCCGTGGTGCTGTAAATGTCGTGACACTATCCGTGCAGATACTTGTCTTCCTGCATACGAGTCAAGTTCTTGGCTCAGCGTAGGTAGCGTGGCTATACAATCCCACAACACAGAAAAGAAAACACGCGTATTCTCTCGGGCGTTATTGTCCCTGTGCCGCTGGTATCTTGTATGGCCCTTCTGGAGCCATCGACTTCATTATTCGCCTGACAGTCATCGGATTCCGACCAAAACGAGCAGTAATGTCATAGAACGGTAAACAGCATTCTCGATATGCGACGATACTGCCACGATTGAAGTAGGAGTTTCTCTCTTGCACAAGGCATACCACGAGCCACGAGCTTTTCACAAACAATCAACGTTCCGTTGCAATTTCCAAATGAAAATCCCCTTGTGCAGTCTTCGTATTTAGATACAATATATATGGTGCTACTTATTCTTGCTTTCAGTGCATGCGAGTGGAATGCTAATCATTTGTATAATCCAACATGTAGGATCTTTAATGCAGATTTGATATTTGTTGCATGCCGCCTTCATGGTAGAGCAATTTTAATTGCTAGTAGGGTATTTCGTCCGAAAAAAAAGTCGACGGTAAGATTATCAAGTGCGAAATGAGAAGTAGGACTGCTTGACAGCTTTAATCATATTGGCAGAAGTTCGCAGTCAGAAAGTGTTAAACTCTTCTGTTTTTCTTCTATTACTTATTTATCCTCGAGTAAAATTTTCCTTATTGTTTATAGCATTCTATTATCATTAGTGACGCTTTAATGATTTTAAATTTTTTCATCAATGTGCTAGAAAACTAATGATTTTTGTTTCTACCATCGCTTGTAGTACATTATACCCTATATTCAGAGCAGTTTTAAATACGACGGTGATGCCACAGTAAATCAGTTAGTCAAGTGATGCAGTTGAGATTCCTGCTTTAGACATCTATCGAGATTTACATTTCACCATATGAGTTTTCTTGTGATCTGATATACTTTTGCACGTTAAAAATAAATGTATCTGCCTTATATTCGTTGTTTTTCTTGGAATATTTTACCTTGCTATATGAGCTATGATTTCTTCCAATAAGATGTCAATTTCTTCCTGTTCATCTGGCGCAGTGAGTAACTCTTTGAAATTCAGACCCTTTGCTAACTTGTATCCTTAAAATACCGAACCGCCCGAAATAGTTTTCCAGTTTCACAACAATTTCCTCTCCTCCCCGTCCATTAACGCAGAAAATAGGTGTGAAGATTTCCAATGACATCCTTTGTACTTTCTAATAAAGATTCCATTAGCCTTTGAACCCGTTCTTTATAAAACTATTCTGAAGGTCAGACCAACAAGCTTTTCTGGCTGTTATGATCACGACTGAGATTTTGTTTATTTCCATTGTTTTTATAGAAAGGAATAAATTGGTTAAAAATAAATATAATCCTTAAATTTTTAAACTGCTGTTATTGCTGTTTAAAGCTTAAAGCACACTGTACGTACCACAAAAGAATCAAGAACGAAATGTCACGATCAACCAAAAGATAAGAAACCTCTTAGGACAAGCTGTCTGCAGTAAACTGATACAATGCATTTGGGGAAACTGCACCTGCTACTGCATATCTTAGGGAGAGGGAAGAAAACAAGATTACAATCTCGGACGGTTCTGGTTGTTTCAATGTAGGGCCGTGTGGGGCGGATGGGATGTGAAGGAGTTAAAAATAGTCAGGGGAAACCCACAGAGTGAAGCCGCATATAGCAAAAGTGCTACATTTAGTGTTCTTCTAGAGCTTCTTAACAAGCCTGCACAAAGTTACTTCGCGTGCTTACAAAATTAAGTTTCTAAGTTGACATTTGCATTTTAACTTTGCCGTTTGCATTTGTTCTTATTTTTTTTTAAATCTCCAATTGCTATTTAGTATTTAGCCCTATTTTAGATATTATTTTTACTGCTTTATTAGTCACTTTGTTAATGGCTTTATATTGCACTGTACTCATTTATTGTTCATGTTGTGGATGTCTTTTGTAACCACCTATCCATAACTCTGTAAATATGTAACTGAAATTGTTCTTCTCACCCGCAATGCACCCTTCTTCCATCACTGCACTATCGTCTTCTTCCAGCATTTGTTTGCACTGCCCGCAGCAGTCGTCTTGAGCACAATATGTATATATAAGTGTGTTATTTTGATCAAGTTATTTCCGTCAGCGGGGCTACCTGGCCGACATGCTAACTATCCAGTGGACCGGCTGCCTCGCTGTCGGTGGAAAGAAAGAAAGTTGATATCAGTTAGTTTTGTACCTCCAGCTATACCTCCAACTGCAAAGTTGTTTGAATTAATCTGTATTTGAAAATAAAGAAGATGCTCACTATGTATATATCAATCTGTTTGAACTTAAAACAGTTAAGGAATTGCATAAAACAGCTTCATGAAATGTTTGTTCCTACACTCTTTATTAACAGACAAAATGCTATATTTCTGAAAACATGCAACCCTTTCTTTTTTCAGTAGCAAGCGCACGTAGCATTACGATTCCTTAAAAGAAAAAAAAATCCGCATACTAATCAAAACCAACAGAATATATGACCCTCGGATTTCAAAGCTTCATGAATTACTATCATACCGTGATGGTAATGTGAGAGCAACCACTCGGGGTTGCCAGACTAACACATTTTCTTAAAATTTTGGGTTGTCTGTTTCGGCGGCATAGCGGCTTTGCCGGTGATTGCCATCAAGGTTGGGCGGATAATGCAATAGTACCCACGAGTTCCGTAAAGATTATGTTAGTGGTCCATCGATCCCCGAGGTTGAGACTAAATAAAAATTCGAAAAGAAAGGTATAAAGCATTCATACTAGCCCACTAGTGTTTATTAACTAAAAAAATATAAAGGTATATTTAGTTATAGATTTGTTTTAAAATTTAACGTGTGGTTATTCTATGCCGAAGAGAATGCCGGGAAATTCTGTTCAAAACTAAACATATTTCTAGTGGATAATGAATTGAATTTATAATGAAACACCTTTTTAAATCGAAGAAAACTGTAAAAGAGTATTTCGCAGAAGAAAAAACTAAGTATAACAGAATAAAACTCCGTTCAAGTATTAAGATGAAACAGAAGACTTACCAGTTAAGGAAATGGAACAGCCTATCGACACGTCAACAGATTCGACGCAAAATCCAACTTAAACAAAAGCAGGTCTTAATATACAGTATACGATAGTAAGCTAAGTACGTTAAAGTAAGCTCTCGTTAAATAGCACACGTTGAAACTTGTTTCTATTTGTTGTGAATTTCTTTGTTATCACAAGCACATAAGAAGTAAGCAAAGAAAATAGAATATACTTAAATTTAATAAAATTAAAACCTAATTTCCAACATTCATTTATTGAGATAATCTAACAAACATAATACATAACGGCAATAGAATATACTTAAATTTAATAAAAAATAAAATCTGATTTCTAACATTCATTTATTGAGATAATCTAATAAACATACATAACGGCAATATTTAAAACAAAAACAGCGAATTACACAGTGTTTGGAAGAACGGATACCAAACGAAAAGTAATAAAACTGCAATTTGCAATCAATAAAAAAAAAATTAGTGTTTTTTAATATTACACAATTAAATATCACGTAATTATAGATTACAATATTTCATAGAAATGCTAATGTTTCCTTAACACTAGTTTTTCGATCATACATTTCATACACTGTTTAAAATCATTAACCTTTCCTGCATACTGTACAAAAAAAACAATATACTATAGAATGTGCATTATTATTAATTTTAATAATTAATTAATTGCTTATATTATATATATATCTAATTCATCTTCAGCAGTCTTATTAAGTACTGGTACCAGTCCAATAATCTTTGTATTATGAAAGTCATGAACATACCATAACAGCTTGAATTGTTGTTCCTTCTGTATTGATTACATTGTCAGCAAAACCAGAAAGTGACTTACCGTTGTATGTTATTTTTGGTTTTATATGAATTAATTCTGAAAGCCAACATTTCAATATGAACGATTAATACGATTAATAATCAATCGATTAATATGAATGATATGCGATATAGCATTTAGGAAGTTATAACCGAAGTACAAAGCTAGTAAGCTTATCCAAATATTGCAGCGCTGGAACCACAGTGATCGGAGAGAGACAGTATTTCCACAGAGACACTATTTCACGAACCATACACTGTTTCACGAACACTATATTCCACAGACCACTCTAGACCACAGAAATACTATTTCACGAACACTAGTTTCAGGATTAGCATTGTAGCATTTCTTGTAGAGCAAATATTCACACACAAAATAAGCACAAATTCAGCATTCTCATAATCATTTCACTCGCTGAAGGCAGTTGAAGTAACTAAATACAGAACAATGAGAAGATTCACCATGCGTTCTTTGATTGACAGTGCATTACATTTACTTTTAATATAAGCGATATTATTTATATCAGTCATTGCTTGATTAAATTTCAAACATGAAGTAAGTCTTTCGAACGCCTTACACATGGCATCTCTTGAAAGAACTGCTAGAATCTGAATTAATTGCTCAGATGTTTGAATTTGGCAGCTAGTCAAAGCGCGCAAATCTCGAGATGTTCTTTTATATAAGCCTCCAGTAAATAAAGTACAAGTCTGCTTCTCCTTCGATGAATTTTCCGCCATATATATTGGACAGCCGTGAATTCGTCCTTACTTCAAAAATAAGAAATAAAGTCCTATTACAGTAGAGAAATAATTGCTAACATGTGATTTGCACTGATTTCTGAAAGATGATTTTTTAAAGTATATAAAATGCATAACTTAATGACTTACTTTATAGATTAGTTTCGTTTTAAAATTTTTTGCTATAATATTTATAAAAATATTTTAAGTATTAATTATTTTAACAGAATTTTAATCAATTATTTAGCACGTATTTTTAATACTAATTAAATTTAATAAATCAAAAGTATTTATATTAAATTTACATTTCATTAGAGGAATGTGCTTCAGATTAATATATTTAGATGAAATAAAGTAATGAAACATTGCAAAGTAAATCTTATGCGGACTTCAGATTCATGAAAGGGCAGATTTAGTCTCTTTTCATTCTAAAAATAATGCTGATGAACTAAAAAAAAAATTCTAAAACGACCAAGTCTAAAAGCAGTCATATCATGACGTTTGCAGCGATGTCGATAAATGGCCAAGATGCAACGGCAAATATTTTGCGTCTTCGCAAAGTTGTGAAAACGACCACTTTGCAACCTCTCTGACCAGTTTGCAACGTCGTGTGCTACTTGGGAAAGGTTTCGTTGTAGATTCATCTAGAATACCTAAAATTTATTCCCACAGCTTTAAAACATGTTAATGTCCTTCCGAAAAACATATTTAAATGAAAAATCTTTTTCAATATATGTGGCAATAAAAAATATATTAAAATTAAATTAAATACTCAATATGAAATATAACTGCAGATAACATAATAGAGCTACACTTTGACAGTTTGCGTAAAAAAAAAATTAGAGCACACCTCAGTTATTAAATGTAAGAGCAGGTGACACCTGGAACCCGAGTTAATGCTATTAATGAGTAAATTACATTAATTTTACATTAAAATATTTTACTTAAAATACAAAAATACACTACTTCCCTTTAATTTCTCTTTACACAAAGTACCTATAACATATAGATCTACTTTAAGTGTTATTTGAAGATATATTTTTCTAACGATGTGGTCGGGTTCCGAGGGAAAAAAAAAAAAAAAAAAAAACCTCATGGTTCTAAGTGTTCTGTGAAGTCAACAAAAGTTTGTGAATGAGATTTCCTTCCAAAACTCCACTGGATTATGTAAATGTCCTGGATTATGTAAATGAGATTATTATACTCTTGGATTATGTGAATAAGATCCACTTTTCCTCCACATGATTATGAGAATGAGATATCCTTTTAAAAACAAACAAAACCTTAATACGTTTTACGACAACCCGGATAATAATTCTCGTTCTTTAATCTATTAACAATAGAATTTTTTCTAAACATATATTTCATTTCATGCAACATTCCGTTGTTCAATTTGTGTGCGACCCATGAGAATGATCCCACATTTCTAGATCAAACTTTTCAGTCAATTTTCGTTGTAGGAAATCAAGCGCTTTATATTTTATTTTTATATAATGAGTGTAAATATTTCTAAGCATAACTAACTGTAGTTACCGGAGGATAGTATAAACGTTCGATTTTGTAATTTTGACTATGTTAATTTCTAAAATTAAAAACCCCAAAACATGAATATGTACTTTAAAATAATCGTTAAGATACTGCGTGAATAATATCAACTAAAGTATTTTCATAAGCTGGAACTATATGTCTACGACCAACGGTTGCGAAAATAAAAGTCGCAAAAGGTGTATTTGTGTGGATTATATGTATAATTTCATGATACAAAGTAGTTTGATTCTGTTTCCAATCCCAGCAAATGGAGTGACGGCTTGGGTGTTTTCTTAGCTTCCTAATGTGTAAATAAACAGGAAAGAAGTGCGAAAAGGACTGATCTGGGACACTTCTCCCCGAACAGTGTACCAAATCAGTCCTTCCTTTTCACACGCCTCTTAAACTTTCACGAAAATAGATAAATTTTCAGCACTTTTCAAAATTCAATATTTTTATGGAAATCTCAAATTTTCATGAAAATATTTGAATTTTAATCATTTTTAGAGATTTAATATTTTTATGAAATTATATAAATTTTCGCGAAAATATATAAATTTTCATCATTTTTCAAATATCTTCAAAATTCAGTACTTTCATGAATGTATATAAATTTTTGTCACTTTTCAAATGTCATCAAAATTCAATTCCCCTGCAGCAGGGGGTCGCAAAAATTTTAGCAGTTTTCATATTTCTTTAACTTATTATAATAATTTTAAAATTTCCAAATATTTTTACACAATGTATCTGAAAATGGATAAAGATAAGACAAAGAAAAAAAGGAAAACGTTTCGACGCATTCTTTTTATAATATAAATGTTCATTTTCTTTGCTTTGCACGTTTCATCTGTCATTTCATCTGTTGCTTATTTAAAATTTTCACGTTGTTCTGTGTCTTAAAATTAGAAATTAAAGTTAATGACCTAAAACTGCAATAGTATATAACAGTACAAGTGAAAAAATTGACAGTTTTACTCATGCGTGTGTTGGATTGGCGCAATACTTATGGGGGTCCCATAAATGTTTTCTAAATATTCGCTGGGGGTCGCGAAAAAATCTCAGTGATGAAAAAGGGTCGCGGCTAAAAAAAATTAAGAAACCCTGAACTAAAAGATTTTTAAATGCACACTGCGATCAGGTATCAATTTATTACTAGCAGATCTTGAATTTGAAAATTCTAGCGTCTTGATGGGCTTTTGAATGGATAGGTTTCAGGGGTGGTGCAACGCGCTGGCGAGTATTGCTATTGTTCTTTCTGTAGCTTAGTATCGATTTGGACGCACCGTTAGAAAACGCAGATCAAGAAACATATATGCGAATACCTTAGTGATTGCACTAATGCTTCAAGTCCTCGTACTAATTACACCATGGCTTTTTCTAAAAGCAATTAAAAGCAGTACACATTCGGCCCCCCAGTGAGCAGCTGTAGCACGAGAGAGGCGGTTGCATTTAAAGGCGTGTTCCAATGCTGCACGTTTTGGAAAGAGTGTGAAACGAGATGAGTCCTAATGGACTGACGATATTTATATTCTGGTGAAATGAAAGTGTCCTAATGCATTAAATTGTTGAAAGAAGTGAGCAGAACTAGGAAAAGCAGCTTGTTCGAAGTCCATTATCACCTGTTCAGTTTACATATGATAGATTACGTGAGTAGGCATATCAATGGCAGTTAAGGAGCGCTGCAATTTTCACTGATTGCTATCAAATCTCAAGTCTCTTAAATTAATTTTCTAAGTTTGGATTAAAGCATATTTTGAGTCCTTGAACGATATACGCCATGTTTTCTACGATCTAGGAAGACTGCTGCGAAATGGACGGCCTAAATTTAGCGAGTAATAGGAATACAAATATGAATATCACTCTCCGTTTTACAGTAAATCATTCACACCAAAATGTTCTCAACAGAAACTAAAAGAGTTTCATGATCATGGCTATTGCCGCTCATCAGGTTGAATTAGCCTTTATTTCATGATTTTTTACACTCACCACATTTTTATTTATAGACTGAATTTTTATTTATTTTATTTTCGAATCACTGTCAATACAAAAAAAAAAGTATTTATGGGCAACATAATATCTTGGGATTTTAACTGATTTCTTTAAAGTAATTAAAGAGACAAAAAAACGTGTTTCCTGATTTTTTAGTTCTGGATGTATTGCCATGTTCTCATAAGAGCTGGTAGAATGTCGGGTGTAAAGGATACTCCTACAGCCATTGATAAGATGTTCGTATTGTTCTCTATTTCCAAGGGAATTTTTACTGCAGATGCATGAGCTCACAAAATAGTTCTAAAAAAAAGTTTCCGGAATTGTACCTCCGATCAGTTTCATCATTTTTATCAACAGGAGAAAAGATCACTTCGTGATGCAAAACATCACATACACGGTGAAAATTTGTTGTTGTTGATTTTAATTTGATGTTGTGTTCTACAGCACGTGTATTTTATGTAAATATTCGCCGCCTTAATATTTTTTCCATAACAATGAAATCTGCAGCTTCTTCTACAGTGGAAGGTAGTGCCCAGATGGATAAACCGCAAGAATTCGATAAGCTTATATGTATTGATAAGACACCTTATACTATCGTAACTGAAGGTAAAGCAGAAGTTTTATTTCCAAGCTCTCATGACGTATTTTACAATCCTGTCCAAGAATTTAATCGGGACTTAAGGTGCGTACTTTTAAGAGGCATCTTTTATGCATTTAAACATTACAAAATTACCCATTTTTCTTTCTTGCTAGATTTATGCATTTTAAACTTCATAAAGAACAAAAGGAACCTCTCTTCTCTCTTGGTGGAAATAAGTGTACATCAATTCTTGGTAGTTCTAGTTTAAAAAAATAAGTAATAAACTGATAGAAACTGAAACTGCAGTTCTTTTAATAATCAGATTTCATTTACTGAACGTGTGGCAAAGGAATTGATTTAAAATTAGCGAAAAATCCAACTTTAGTTTGGCCTAGATTTTACTTTTACTTCACAATCGATATAGTTGACATTACTGTATTTACTATATCGAGTGTGAAGGAAAACATGATTAAGAGATTGATGGTTTGGTTTTGTTGATTATGACAAAGCACACTTGGGCTATCTGCCTAAGGGGAAGGGTGCTATGTCAAATATCAGGTGCTTATTAAGATACGTAAAGGAAACTTTTTTTAGGGTTGTTTTGCATCTGTTGTTTTCATATGCTAGCAAAATAGAAATTATTATATGCTTCCTTGTTAAGTGTTTAGTAACTTTTGACTGTATTTGAAATTTGTATCTTACAGGATTGGATGATTGAATTTGATGACTTTAATGATTACATGGTGGTAACATTAATAAGAAGTACCAAATACTCTTACTTAAGAGAAATATTTATTGTAAGCCTCATGTACAACTGATCAGTAAAATCATTACATAACTAAAAAGTGAATAATTTAGTCTTTTATTATTATTATTAAATTAAATGTGCAGATCTTTTCTTGAAATTAATTTGCATTGAAATAATGCCATAGCAAATTCTTTTTCCAGCATTTAGGTTAGTTATTTTAAACATGTTTATATTTTGCATCTTTAATCTGTAGGACTGGTTCTTAAACTAACAGGCCTGTTCTTATTGCTTAGCCTAAAATTGCTTCAGGTATTAAAATTAAATATGTGTACCAAGATCAGACTATAGTTCCTTTTTAATCTTGTAATTTTTATATTTTTTAATTAAAGAATTTTTTTTCTAAACTTTTTGAAATTTTAGTGTTAAACTCTTTGAGGAGTTAGATCATAATCTGAAGTTTTCAATGCAATTTTATTTTTCAGACATGAGAGTGAAAAAAATTATAAGAGTTGAATGGATGTTCAATTTCATTTGCTTTATTCTTCTGGTATATCTGTAACGTATTATCATTTATTTTGCTTTTTAAGCTATTTTCTAGAAAAAATGTATATTTGAAGAATATATGATAAAAGAAGACTGCTGTTTGCATATTAGTGTGTACATGGTCAGATACTGACAATATCCCCACCCATGTAACTCTGACAGTATTACAGCAGTTAAAGGTTGTCATGTTGATGTATTGCTATGTTGCAAGTTCTGTCCCTTATGTAAGTGTCAAAATCCTTGCTAGGAGTTTCTGAATTTTAAAGCAAGCAGATTTTTAATCATGCAGGGTAAACTTGTCATACAGTGGAAAAAGTACTTTTAGTAGTTCCTGTTGTGGTTATGTTTTTATTATATATATCTTATGAAAGACTAATTTCAGGGTAAAATCCTAGGAGAGCGCACACTCTTGGCGACAAACTGGGGAAGTGCAGAATCACCCACTGCTTCATGTGTTTCTCAAAATCTCCAACTTGAAAATAACAAGTAAAAAAATTGCATAAACTCGGTATCCATGTACTCATTCACCTATTTTCACTTAAAATAACATTCCACAATTGCACAAACTTGGCATTGCACACTTCCTTGACTTTGTTTATGTACACATCGATATGCACCATATAAGTGGGTGCGCCAAGAGTGTGGACTCTGCTAAGATCCAACCAATATCAGAAATATAAAAAGTGCAGAACTTAAAAAGTTTCTTCTAATCACAATAAACAGCACTTTAAATCAAAATAAAACAAGGAAATAACATAAAAGTGGAAATACATGTTATCCAATCTGCGCAAAATAGAAGGAAATACTAACTTACCTTATTTAGAAATTTCTGTGTCTTCAGTGTTTCACAGACAGAATTGCTTAACAGCATCCAAAAACTGTCTGAACTAGAATCTGTATATTGCCATTGCCACATAAATTCACACAAGTAAAAATAAAAAATATTTTCCACACTGCCGGACTTTCAGTTGTGTTTCTTTTAAAAAGCCCTTTTTATTACACTTTATATATCTTCCATGATATTGATATGAGCTCAAATCCTTGAATCTCGCTGCGTAATTTACCGAGAGGTGAACGAAGCCATTTAAATCTTCATTTACACACGAGTCAATCAATGCTTTCTATCCTATGCATACAGAAACTTCATGTTAATTGTACCACCATCAGGCATTTTAGGATGTAAAGCACAAAATAAGCAACATACTTCTGTTACATAGGGGAAAAAATAGCTCTTTTTTACACTCATTTAACTAACTTTTAAAGTGACTTCTTTTTTGGTGCCATGACATTTAAAAAAAAAAAAAAAAAAAAAAAAAAAAAAAAAAAAAATACTAAAACTGAGTACTTAGTACTTACATAATCAAAATCTTAAACTTTTAAATCAAAGAGAAATAAAAAAAAATATCCTCACTGGTGTTTTGGTAAAAACAAAGATTATTTATAAAAACCAAAATGCGAAAAGGCATTTCCGTAACAAAATCTTTAACACGCTAGCTCTCACTAAAATATAACTAATTCAGATCTCTAACCTAAAAAAACATAAATTTCATTACAAATTTAGTGTTAGCCTTAAAACACATTTCATTTAAAACACAGCACAGAACTCTTCAAGGGAAAGATAAATCTCGCACCTAAGAAGTCTACTCATCAAATCATAATAAATTAAGTAACCGATCATATATCACAACTCTTAAAACTGATTTTTCTACTACTGCAATATGGTTACCCAGGTTCTATTCAATAACCATGTTTCTGTAAGGGACACATGGGTGACCTACAGTAGACCACAATTAATACACAAAGGAAACATACAATAATTAAATCATTAAACACATTTATTAAATAATTCAAATATTATAATTTAAGATAGCTGGTTCAAAAGAAACATACACTAATAAAAATCATAAACACATTTATTGAATATTTCCACACATTATAATCTAAGATAGCTGGCTCAAAAGAAACATACACTAATAATAAACACATTTATTGAAGATACCCACACATTATAATTTAAGATAGCTGGCCAGACTACCCCTACAAAAATCTTTTAAAAGTTACTCATAGTTTTTTTTCATATCAATCTCATTTTAAACATTATTCCATTAATACAAAAATCATAGTGAACCTCATATTAATCTTTTAAATATGTACTCAATTTAAACTCATGGCAATTAAACATTTAAAACATAGCTAACACTTTCTCAACTATTAATTAATTGATTAGTACTAGAATACAAATTTTGATCTCTATAAAAGTTCAGCTAAGGCATTAGAATTTGATTCTTCCAAAATCCTAATGATTACGTATAAAAGAAAAGCAAAAATTAAAACAAAAATGTATACGAGTTCAGCATAACACAAGTCTGATCGACTCGAGGAGCAGCGATCCAGTCATCAAACGTCGAAACAATTACTGCCAAAACTTCGTCGTTGTCTGGAAAACAGATACTGAAGTCAGTTCAATGGGAAATTTTCAACAGTTCAAATAGTTCCAGCACCACTCTGTCCGATAACATTTTAACTCTAAAATCATCCTTTAAAATGTTCATGCTGACGCTGTGGATAAAAACAGACAAGAGGAGATGATGACTGTCAATAATCTCTGGAATAATCTGCTTCTTCAGCATGAAACCTTCAGAAAAATATTTGAAAAAAAAAAAAAAAAAAAAAAAAAAAAAAAAAGCCACTCCCTTTATTCAATATTATCAACACAAAATCTGTATCTTCGACACGAGCAATTGGGTACTAATAATGGGCAAAGAAGACATGCCCTTATTTCATATTCCATTCCACCAGAAAATATGTCTTTCTACTAAAAACCACTAGGATGAAACCAGGACCATTGTGCCGCAGGACAGGAAAAACACTTTGCCGCCGTCTATCATGAAGAGAGTCCGCAAGGGCTTGGACAAGCCTCCGCAGCCAGAGCCAAGGGGACGTGGTAATATCCCTTAACATTAACCCACGGTCGACCCCCGAAGGGTCGCTGTGCTTCTCTTTTTTTCTCCGATCCCACTTAGAAGAGTTGGAAAGAACTCATACAAAAATCTCCGCTATTGCCCATTGATTAGTGCAGCAACACATCACTGACCGCGGCCGCCATCAAAGAAGCAAACCCGCTAAGGCTCTGAAAATAAATCTGCTAAAAAGTGCTCCTGCCTCTCGTGCAATGGTTTAAGAAAACTTGGTTGACAATCACCAAGAAATGCCTCAAAATCACTATTGGCTCAACCAACACCAAAATTAAAAATTTAACCAATCTTAAAGAAATTTGGACCCCCTCTGGCCAACTACAAACTGGTGATAAAGCATTACGAAATTTCCAAGAAAATTCAGAACTCTCAGCAAGATGACAGACCCTTTCTTTCCCACACAACAGAAGAATTTTTCCAACCTATAACTGTGTCAAAAATTGCCACAAGCTATTTGCCTCTGAACGAGCAAAACACGTGTGTTCAACCCCCTGAAAAGGAAATTGCAGCTGGCCGCAACTGACCGCAACTGACCGCTTCGTGAGAAACGGAAGTTACATGCCCCACCCTTTTTTCTGAATCACACTCTTCAGCTAACTTAAAAGAGCTTTGCCATAAATGAGTTAAAGTTTAAACAATACTAAATACTAAACAATTCAAAAATAATAACAAACAAATTCATTAAACACAGTAAAATAATATGATAATTGCACACAGCAAATAATACATAACAATTTTCCATAACACTTCCAACATCCATTGCATAAATAAACCTTGAGAAATATTTGCGTAACGGTCAAAATCACTGCAATAATGTGTTACAGGGTTTCCATAACATTCAACGTAAAATACTCAGCTTACCATAAATGAAACAACAACTTGACAATAATCCAAGGGGTACCCTAAAAATAATGCCAGCAGTAGTACAGAATTATGTTCTTAAAAACCTGGTCACTTTTAGAGGTTTAATCGTAGCAACATGGTTTGGTACGAGAGGTTTCATATGTTTTCTTTTAGTGTAATGCCAAATTTCATGAAAATCTAAAGATTTTCAGGTTTTTCGCAAATTTACATAATTGTATTATTTGATTTTTTCTTGGAATTAGGGTGAAAATGTGTATTTTTTCTTCATGTAATTTTAGATCATGTAAAACTTATTTGTTCTCTCTCTCTCTCTTTTTTTAAAAATATAGGTATACATTTAAGTATTAATTTAGACTTCTCCCCTTTCTAGTATTGCAATTTTGAAGCAGTTTATCAATGAAACCATAAAAGAAGAAGATTCTAAAAAGGCTTCAAAGAGCAATTCAGATGGTGATTTGGTAAAAAAGATAATTCTTAAAGTTTCTCTTAATTCACCTAAGTTTTTACTTCCTAGTTACACTGATTACACTGAGAATTAATGTAAAAATTTAATCCAAGTTTCTTTCGGTGAAAAATTATAAATTATGTACTTTTGTTCAAAATTATATATACAGTCAAAAGTCGTTAATTTGGACACCCATAATCCGGACCTCAAAGCTACAAACTTTCTGCGCATGCGTCGCATTGACACGTAAGACCTTCGCATGTGCATAATACGTGCGCATGTGCATAATACGTTTACGCTTGCGCGTTAATGTATAACGGACGGTATAAGCTAAGCTAAAATTATCTAATTCAGTTAATGTTGCAGATTGCGTTGTTCCTTAATCTTCGAATTGGATCTGACTTATTATTTTGGATCTGACTTTTGACTGTACATATTGTTTCATAAAGAAGCTGGCACTGTAAATAATTTTTTAATTTCTTTTCTGCTGAATTATTATAGCAAAACAATAAGTTAACTTAGAGTTAATCAATTTGGGCTCCTGATTATTTTTCTTCTTATTATGCTTAAAATGAAAGTGATACAGAGCCTCAAAACTGTTGCATACAGTAGCTAAAAAATGCATGAATCTAAAGCTGTTTGTTTTATTAGAAAATTACAGTATTTAAATTTTTCATTAAAGTTATGATTATATTAATGAAAACAGTTCTGCAAAATAGTTGAATAAATTATTACTAAATTCAATAAACTAAATTCAATAAAATGTTTCTTTTCTGATAAGCTTTTAAACTGCTATCAAAAATGTCTGTGTGTGCAGATAACCACTGGAAAAATTTACATATTTATTGTCAGTCATATTTCCGGTTGAATGAGTCACACCTGAGTTCAACTTGAAGACAGTTGCTTTCATTGGTATTTTAGTAAATGTTAAGTGATTAAATGTTATTAATGTCATATTATGGAAAGAGGAAAAGAAATTCCTCCAGCTATAAGACATTTGATAATTAAGTTAAGAGATGAAGTAAAATCTCTTTGTAAATTGTTGACAAACCTCATTTTAGTATCCAACGCATTATACAGAATATATTAGTTACAGGAAGTCTTTGTGTAAGACTGAAATGTGGATGGCCTAAAAAATTATCTGTTAGAGAAGAAAGAAAAATAATTCAAAATATCAAAGTTAATTCTAAACTTTCTGCTTCTAATATTGCAGCAGATCTGAATGTGACATGTAGTAAAAGAGTTTGCCCAGAAATGTGCTTAGAAATGCGGATTATCTTGGGAGGATAGCCACAGGAAAACCATACATTTTGAAGATTAATCGGAAAAAGAGGATTAAATTTGAAAAAGCCATTTAAATAAATCTCCTGAATTCTGGAACAAACTAATCTGGTCAAGTGAAAGCAAATTCACCATTTTAAATGGTTGCTGTACAGTCTGGAAAAATTCAAATACAGAATTAGATGTGAAAAATTTGCATTCAACTGGCTAAGCAAGGAGAAGGTAGTGCCATGGTATGGAGAAGGTAGTGTATGTCCTCTAATGGAGTCAGAAAGTTACATATAGTAAACAGAATAATTCATAGATTTGTTCACTTAGACATTTAAAAGCAAGTGCCGAAAAACTATGAGTTAAGCATGATTTCATTTTTCAACAGGACAATGATCCTAAGCAAGCTAGGATAATTACATACAAGAAGACATGAATAATGTTGTATCATGTTCCTAGACGCCCTCAGTCCCCAGACCTTAATCCATTAGAACATCTCTGGGAAGAAATTGAAACAAACTTTGGCAAATACAATATAACATCAAACATTGATTTTAATATGCAAACTGAATGAAGAATGGTAAAAAATTTCTTCATCTGACACTGGAAAGCTTTTCATTCAATGAATAAAAATTGCAGGCTGTAATTAAATGCAAAGGCTACCATATTAAATATTAAATATTTTAAGTAAATGGGCATATAAATTGCACAAGTGTACACAAACGTTTTTGATTTAATTTCTCTGTTTTTGTTTCTTTTAGATGTTTTATGTAACAAGTTGTTATTGTAAGTTTCAGAATATGAAGCATATGAACGGTAAGAAACCCATACAGATGTAAATAAAAGCTTAAAAAAAAAAAAAAAAAAAAAAAAAACTTAAAAAAAATATATATATAGTCACTGTATGTAGACTTTTTTGAGCAACTATATATTTTTAAAATGAAGATTTGAATAAATTGCATTTTTCTGCAAGTAAAAGAAGTTTGCAATAAGTAACTTTTGCGACTATATATTTAGTACTTTTGAAAGTATTTAGTCCAATTCTCAGATCTCTAAAGCATAAGTGGGCAATATTCTCTTTTGTTACATGTGATAGCAGTTGTGAAAGATTAGACATTCTATGATGATAGCTGCGGCTGTTTTTATTTTTGTCAATTCACGACATGCAATATTTTAAAGCTATTTGAAGAAATATAACAAATTTAGAAATTTTAGAGCTAATTTTAAATGTAATTAATTTAATATAAATTTATTGTGGTTTATCTTTATTAGTAATAGGTATTTGTGATATATATCTGAGTGTAATGAGAAGTTAATCTTGAACTTTGCTAGTTGATTAGAGCTAATAGTTACCCTGGGTTTCAGTGTAATAAAATTTAGTTATATCAACATCACAGTTTAGGAAATATATTATATTTAACATGTTTACATTAAGATTTTTACTTGCATTACACTTAACATTTTTTAGTCAAAAAAGTAAGTTATTTAAATTATAATGTCCTTGCATATAAGTAATATGGAAAACTATCTGGCAGAAATAGAATTCATATTGGGAGCACTATGAGGACCTCCATCTTGGCTGATGCAGAGATTATATTCCATATTATACATTCCATTCCATTTCAGTTAAGTAATTTTTACTTGACACAATTTTATTGTTTGTATTTTTACTTCCGTGTACGAAGTAAAAAGGAAGTATTGCAATCGTAAAAAGTTTCAGGCAACATATTTCAACGAAAATATCCATTTTGACCGCTATCGAATAATTCAACGATGTTTTTTGCGTGATATCTGTACGTAAGGGCAGAATAAAAGACACGTTTCCTTCAAAAAAATTATAAAACTGCTTTAAAATTAATTCTGAAGAGAATTTTTCATGGTGTCCGTACGAACGTACATACGTATCTCGCATAACTCAAAAATGAGTAGCCTCAGAACGTTGAAATTTTGTATATAGAACTGCTATAACATGTAGATGTGCACCTCGTATTTTGGTTGCAATCGGCCGCACCAAACGTATATAAATATATTTATATATACACTCATAATTATATAACCAAAAATGATGATATTCAATGAAATATCAATGTGATCCGTATTTGCAGGGAATCCTAGCCATTAAATCAAAAGTAATACGGTTTGTGATATTCAATGAAAATATCGAATCAAATTTGCAATGTGTGAAAACCAAGCCTAATTAGCATTATCCAATCAAAAGTAATCAAATCCAACGGTTTGTGATATGAAAATCTAGGCGTTACGTCATCCAAGGGTGAATCAAGCGCTTTGCGCAAACTGAATATTTGAGTGAATTTCTGCAACATAGCGTTTGATTTCAGTGTGTAGGGACTCAAAGCGGTTTGTTATGGCTTCGAAGTATCATTTGGAAGAATCTGTAAAGTGTCGAATTATCGGCCGTTTAAAAGCAGGGCAGTCAATCATGGAAACAGCCACACGTTTGAATATTTCAAGACAGACAGTCTCTAAGCTATGGAAACAGTTTCAAAATGATGGAAGTGTTGTAAGAAGGCCTGGACAAGGTCGGAAACGAATGACAACTTCTTCTGAAGATCGGTATCTGGCATTAACTGCCCGTCGTAACAGAAAGGCTATTGCTCGCCAGTTAAATTCAGAGCTTGCAGCCGCCACTGGAACTCTTGGCATCACGGCAAAACAATATACAGAAGGCTTAATGAAAAAGGCCTGTATGCCAGAAAGCCAAGGGTATGTGTTTTACTGTCTTCACAGAAAAAGAGGGATCGCTTTAATTGGTGTAAAGAACATCAAAACTGGACTGAACATCAATGGTCCCATGTTTCTCTTTACTGATGAGTCGTGGTTTAGTTTAACTGGTGATTCTAAACGGTTTACATCTGGAGGGAGTCAGGAACACGAAATGATCCCTCGAACATTGTGGAACGTGACCGTTTCGGTAGTGGAGGTGTGATGGTATGGGTGTGGGGTGGAATAATGATTGATGGACGTACGCCCCTACACGTGTTCAGCAGCGGATCTGTGACAGGCCAGATATATCGAGATGAGGTCTTAGATCCTTATGTAAGACTTTTCAGGGGTGCGTATGGACCTGACTTTTTATTTATGGATGATAATGCCCGTCCCACATCGAGGAAAACCTCGTTGATGAATTCCTTAAAAGTGAAGACATTAAGCGAATACCTCGGCCACCAAACTCTCCTGACCTTAACCCGATAGAGAACTTATGGGACTACCTTGGAAGAGCAATTGCACATATACATCCTCCTCCTAGAGATGTAAATGCTCTGAAGACGGCATTGCTGGAAGAGTGGAGATTAATTCCCCAAACTGTGGTTAACAACGTTATTTCCAGCTTTAAAACACGTTGTGATATGTGTGTACAAGTCAGGGGAGATCATATTCCATATTAAATTCGTAAGACTTAATTATTTTTCTGAATCATTCCTTTTTTTCTTAACTCTCTTTGTCACACTTTATTAGGATTTTTATTGTTTCATGCTACAATTTTATATCATATGAGGTGATCTTCAATTTTTTCTTTTGCATTTATGTGTCATCATGTTATGTATGATTCCACGAAAATTCATTAAATTATTAGTCTCTGAGAAATCCGTGAATTTATGCATGTAAACATAATTTTGGACATGAGTGTATATCCACTCTATTAGCCGGCTCAGTGATCTCAGTTTCTTTACTCTTATATGTTTGTAAATTGTACATTTTTTGCTTTAAAAATGATTGAATTATGTTGTTTTTATCTTCCGGTTAAGGATTTTATGCCTTTAGTAAATCTGTGTGCAATATTTTTAGAATTATCAACAATTTTAAAGTTGTTTAATTGCCGCTAAGCCTTTTTTTTGGCAGGCACTTGATGTTTACATTTGAAACAGGAGACTAGTGGATTTGTTGCCAATCTAGAGAAACTTAGCTTTGCAACAACAAAGATAACGTATTCATTTATTATTGCCAATTAAATCATGCTTAATTCTTTCTAGAATTTTTTCGAGGAAATAAGCGTTTGAGATTTACTTCGTAATTTTTAATGTAGATATTTTGAGTTTTTATGTATTTTTGCCTTCTCGCGAAGTGAGAACTGAATTAATTAAATGAGAAATACTCAATCATCTGTGAAAAACTGTTTCTTTTTTTTTTGTTTGTTTGCTTAATTTCTTTTATAACATAGTTCTAGCTTTATTATAGTATTTGAATAGAACATGTGGCAACGATTAGATAATTCTTTAAATGATATACATTTTTGTGCATTCTGAGTTATAATATGAATGAAATATAATACTGTTTAAGTAAACCTAGTGCCAGAGTGTCGCTATGGTAAACAAAGTGAATTTTAAAGAATGCATTTATTCTATTGTGGTTTATGCGCTGTCGGCGAAGTAGGTTTAATTCAATCTAATAAAATAAAATGCAAGAAAAAATGTGTATAATTTAATATTCTGTACAAGGAAGTCATCTGGTGTACACATCAGATTTTTTATTGTAAATGAACAAGAAATTAAATAATATGTGACATTAAAAGCATGGTAAATTTCAGTTATCCAAAAAAGTAATTTTACTTTTCAGATTTAAAACTCATTTTGATCTAATGCAGTACATATAATCAAGCAGTATAATAATGTAACTAATAAATAATAATATTTCAGTGCTCTGTTTTGAAGAGTTTATGAGTTGTGCAGTGTTTGCCTAATGATTATATGTGTCTCATTATTTCTCTATGAGCAATGTTACATTTCTGTTTTTGCTATGTATTTGTGAAATTGTTCAAGTAAATCGTAATTATAATAAATGATAATACCAGTAATATTTATTCATTAAATCAGAAATATTATGAAAAGTGATTCTATGATCAGAATAAATATGTGTATATATATTTATGAATGAGATGCAATTATTATGTATTGAAATTTGTTCATTATGTTTTTCAGCCAGAGATAAAAGTTTTAGAAGCTCTAGCTGCATCTGGTCTTCGATCAATACGTTTTGCAAAAGAAGTACCAAATGTAACAAAAATTGTAGCTAATGATAGGGCTACAGAGGCATATTTAAGTATTCAGAGGAATATTAAACATAATAAAGTTGAAAATATTATTGAAGCATGCAATGAAGATGCTTCGTAAGTCACCTTTTTGCATTAAATGAATAATCTTTGATAAACATTAATCTGTATTTGTTTATATATTATGCATAACTCAGTATTATGAAATGTTAAAAGAGTGTTACGTGAGCATAAGCTTTAAATTTGCTGATTAATGCAACTGATTATCTCAACAGTAAGGACGCTAAATACAAAGGTTGTTATATAAATTTTTTTGGGGAATAATAAGTCTTATTTCATTATTCATTAATCTTATTTTATCATTCTTATTATCTTTGCATAATCTGTAAAAGATATATACAGTACAAAATCCGACATCTAATAGTCACAATTTTGTTTTTTCTTAGAAAAGTCTAGGAATCGAGAAAAAGCAGGAATACCATAAAAGGATTTTTCTGATGACTAACTGAGATTCATGTATGCCACTTTCAAGCACCTGTTGGCTAGGGAATTCCACCTTGGCCAATGACAATACACTTATTGACGTTGTAGTGACATTAGTCATGACCACACTTTCAGTCCTTGAGGGGTTCAGCACTTTTCTGTCTGACCTAAACAATAAATCTCCAAGACACATTATCAGAAGACATATTTATTTGGAGTGGGCTTCTTCTGATACTGACTTTTTTGTCAGCATTGAAATGGAAAAAGAAGAAAGAATTGAATTTTGAGAAACCTTCACCATCGCAAATTGCGCATATAACTTAAGGATTTGGAACGGTATATTATTTTGTACTGTCTTATCTTAGTAAAACTACACTTTTAGTAAATGACAACACCTCTGTTTTACTATTTCTCTGAGACTATATTGCAAGATCATGAGAGGCCATGTCTACAGATATTTTTAAATGCTTGGTATAATTCATAGCCAGCTACAAAATATCATGATCATGATGAGAGCCACAAATCTAAAGGTTTTTAGATATCATAAGACTAAGTAAAGTTTTTTGATTAATGGAGTATCGAAAGAAATGCTAAATGGAGATGAAAATACCATAATCATCAATTTAAAAAAAGGCAAAAATTGGCAGTATTGTTTTAATTCCAGAAAATATCATAATTTTAAATTTCATGTGGTGGGGATTCAGGGGGGGGAAGTAAATCCCTCTCTTTATGCAAAATATCACATTAACCTTGTTTTTCTAACATTATCACAAGCCACTCACCTGCTGCAGTTTCTCAGTTGCTGATGGCAACATTGCAACTGTTATTTTGAATCCTGATTGGGAGCATAATTAGAATTACATATTCATAAACAGTTATCTGGATTAGAGTCTGTGAGCCTTGATCGATATTTTGTTTTTAGATACACAGTATTTGAAAATTGACATTCATAATCATAATGTAGTTGCAAAATATGAACAAATTATTTGTGCGCATTTTCTTAAAATAGGATATTTATCTTTGTGAACTAAAACTCTAAAACATGTTAACATTATCTTTATGATGTACTTTTTAAGCAATATCATTTTGCAGATTCATAATTTTTAATTCTATTTTATCCATAATATTAAGCTTTAAATATTTGCCAATCGCAGAAGCTGCATTATCAGAAGACACATTAAATGCATTAACAAAAAATATTACAACAAATTTGAATTTTTTAAAAATTTGCAAATCAAGGAAAAAAATAACTTATTTTATCCATAAATGAATATGATCTTTTAATATTTTAGGTTGGTTATGTATAAGAATCGGCAATATAAAAACAGATTTGCTGTAGTGGACCTTGATCCTTATGGAACTGCTGCACCATTTTTAGATGCTGCTGTTCAGTGTGTCTCAGAAGGAGGTAAACAAAATCTTTACCTTTACGCATGCACATAATATGTTTACGCATGCGTGTTTAATGTATAACGGACGGTATAAGCTAAGCTAAAATTATCTAATTATCTATTTCAGTTAATGTTGCAGATAGCGTTGTTCCTTAATCTTCGAATTGGATCCACCTTATTATTTTTTGCAGACTGTTAGAGCAATTTTATAAAAGTAAGCTTGAACTTTCAATTATGTCAAAAAGAATTTCCGATTTTGTAGCCGCCGAAGGATTTACAAAGCGAAAGCATGTTTCGATGTCCATCACAAAAAGTGGAATTGTTGCAAAAAATGGATAAAGGCATATCCTATGTTTCTCTAACCATTCCAAAATCTGTTTATCAATTTCATGCTGCTCTGCGGGGGGGGGGGGACGTCGCGCTGCGACAGGAACTGGAAGTTGATCTGTCAGCACTAATCTTCAGGGCAGATGTTTTTATTTTATTTGGCTTATAATTCTTTACTAAATGTAGTATTTCATTTCGATGTGCTCCGTCTTTGATATGATTTAACCCTCTGAGCGTTACGGGTTTAACCTTGAAATTTCAAAGTTCCTCAAAATGTCATGAATAAGTGGTATTTTCTTGATTTTAATGAAAAAAATGACTCTTTCATTTTTTACCTTGATTCCTTTTCTTCCAATATACATCCAAACTGAAATCAGATACATTAAATGCTAGTAGAAATTTTCATGTATAATGAATGTAGAAGGCAACCTTCTGTACAGAATTTTCCGGCCTTAATTATCACGTCGCGCTGCGACATGAACTGGAAGTTGATCTGTCAGCACTAATCTTCAGGGCAGATGTTTTTATTTTATTTGGCTTATAATTCCTTACTAAATGTAGTATTTCATTTCGATGTGCTCCGTCTTTGATATGATTTAACACTCTGAGCGTTATGGGTTTAGCCTTGAAATTTCAAAGTTCCTCAAAATGTCATGAATAAGTGATATTTTCTTGATTTTAATGAAAAAAATGACTCTTTCATTTTTTACCTTGATTCCTTTTCTTCCAATATACATTCAAACTGAAATCAGATACATTAAATGCTAGTAGAAATTTTCATGTATAATGAATGTAGAAGGCAACCTTCTGTACAGAGTTTTCCGGCCTTAATTATCACGTCGCGCTGCGACAGGAACTGGAAGTTGATCTGTCAGCACTAATCTTCAGGGCAGATGTTTTTATTTTATTTGGCTTATAATTCTTTACTAAATGTAGTATTTCATTTCGATGTGCTCCGTCTTTGATATGATTTAACCCTCTGAGCGTTACGGGTTTAACCTTGAAATTTCAAAGTTCCTCAAAATGTCATGAATAAGTGGTATTTTCTTGATTTTAATGAAAAAAATAACTCTTTCATTTTTTACCTTGATTCCTTTTCTTCCAATATACATCCAAACTGAAATCAGATACATTAAATGCTAGTAGAAATTTTCATGTATAATGAATGTAGAAGGCAACCTTCTGTACAGAATTTTCCGGCCTTAATTATAACGTCGCGCTGCGACATGAACTGGAAGTTGATCTGTCAGCACTAATCTTCAGGGCAGATGTTTTTATTTTATTTGGCTTATAATTCCTTACTAAATGTAGTATTTCATTTCGATGTGCTCCGTCTTTGATATGATTTAACACTCTGAGCGTTATGGGTTTAACCTTGAAATTTCAAAGATCCTCAAAATGTCATGAATAAGTGGTATTTTCTTGATTTTAATGAAAAAAATAACTCTTTCATTTTTTACCTTGATTCCTTTTCTTCCAATATACATCCAAACTGAAATCAGATACATTAAATGCTAGTAGAAATTTTCATGTATAATGAATGTAGAAGGCAACCTTCTGTACAGAGTTTTCCGGCCTTAATTATAGCTGAGAGGGTTAAATCAAATTGTTTGTCATTATAAATATCACAAATACACATCAGGTTTCTGGTTGCAATTTTCTAATTTCGACTATGCGTAATGTATGCTTTACGCATGCGCTCGTTGAAAGAAATGTTTAATAAAGTAAACAAATAAATATTAAGCTTTTTTTTTTTTTTTTTTTTTTTTTGTAAATTTTGATACCCTTTGGATCACAATTGCTCTTTATTTCATAAATTATGGTTTTATATTTTTAGTTTTATAATTTCTGCATGCCATCTTACCAGATTTTACGTGATGATCTATAATCCGAAAAAACCGATAATCCGGAATCGCCGAAGTCCTGACGAGTCCGGATTAAAGACTTTTGATTATATTATGAAATAAAACAGTTTCATCTACTATTTATTGAAAGGTTGTAGTAGAAGTTTCACTATTCAAATTCAGTGGGGTCTGAATTTGAATAGTGAAACTTCTGCTACGTTCTATAGTCTATAGCTGAAGACTTTTTCTGCTGCTGCTTGAAAATCCAAATAATTTTTTAACTTTATTTTAAATATTTTTTTAAGTCCAGGAGCACTTGCAGGCAAAGTTTGGTGCAAATAAAAGTATTTAAATCTTCATTTGCAATATTTTTATTTAAACCAGACTTAATATAGAAGCTCATGCAATTTGTAAGTTTCATTGGGAAAATATATATTCAATAAAAGAATCAATTTTGCAACTGTGGCAACGGCTTAACATACTACATAACTACTAACTTAACTACATAACATTTCCAACTAAACAAGCAACATTGTTATTTTCATATGCATTATGTTTATTATATGCCAAGTTTCAAGAGGTTTTATTCATGAAATGTGTAATTCTTTTGTCTTAACTCAATTTTAAAATATGTGGTTGTCAGAATTTCACAAAATTGATGAAGGGAACAGTTGCCTTAAATCTGTTCTTAAATGATCGCTGCTCCGAAATATTGACCAGAACAAAAGAATGCTACCCAGCTTGTAAGTTGGTTTACTGATAGATTTCTGGGATAAATGCGTAGTTAAAAATATAATGTATGCATATAATAAAGAACTTCTTGCAGTTATAAGTCTTTCATTATTTTTTACCTTTAAAAATTCACCAGACTGTGCCAGGGGTGTTTGTGCGAACATGCAAATACCATGATGTGAATAAGCATGGAAATTCATTATTTCAGGAATTCAGTTATGAACCAGATCATGAGATCTTGTTTAATGAAAAACAGTCACAGTATTTTGAACAAGCATTTTAAGTTACCTTAATTATTCATAAAGATTTTAAAAATATTCTCTTGAAACAGAAGCAAATCAGTGCTATTCCATTATTCAACAGTGAGCTGAAATTAAAATAGTTTGAAAATCAAGTCTGACTATGATTATACATAACTGGAGACTCAACAAACACTCCATGATGGTTGATTTCTTTCATACTGTGATCAGTTTGCTTTGGTTTATTTAATTACATTATAGTTCTCGAGGGCTGTCTGCCTAAGTTGAGGGATGCCTTTGTGAAGGACTTTCTAAGAGAACTGGCTCAAACCCACGTTGCACATGGGGAAAAGCAAAAAAAAAAAAAAAAAAAAAAAAAAAACCATGCAGCCACCTGTTTGCTGGAATTTTTGAACCTCGAATATTTGATAATTGAATCACGGATCAAACTACCAGTGTTCAGTGACTTTACCGCTTATACTTACCGCTGTTGTCAGAAGGAACATGTTCATTTTATGAAAGTATGAAATTTACATTCTACCAGATATCAGAAATCCAATTTTTTTTCTGCAACCAAACAAATATTTATTGTTGTCTTTAAATGCCATATTCGTAGTCTAAGTTAGTGCCCTTGCGCCTTTTGATGATTAAGTAAGTTAATGCAAGGTGTTCTGATGTTCTGCTACCTGCAGCTTTTCTCTGCCTTTGACCTAAATAGCAAGGCAAGTGGTTTCTTTGGAACTAGTTCCCAGCTGTTACTCTTAACACTCTCTCAACAGTTGCTAATATTATATTTCCATTGTATATTTACCATCGTGTATCGTTTCATTGAGAATAAAAATACTCAACATTTTTTGACAAAGTATCGCATGCCTGGAAATAATGAAATGCTTCTGCTTCATTTCTCAGCAAACCCAGTGAATGCATGATACAAAATGCTCTGAAAATTAGCATGAGAGAAATAAACACCATTCCAAAGAACTTTCTCTGAAAATTAGCATGAGAGAAATAAACACTATTCCAAAGAACTTTCTTTGAAAAAAAGATTATATATATATATATTTTTTTAAAAAGGGGTGTAATGTAAATGTGAGCTTGTTCTAATTTGTCTGAGGTTGACATTAAAAGTTAAACAGTAAAAATAATAATTATCATAAAAAAGGAGCAATTTCTACCATTTTTAAACCTTCTTTCTCCAGAAAAAAGGAAAAAAAAAAAAAAAAAAAAAAAATCGCATCTTTCGGGAAGAATCCAAACAGCTTCTAGAGTTGCTGAATGCGTGCAGGGATTAAGAGTCAATAGTGGTACTTTTATTGATATATCAGTGGATAGTGGCTAGTATACAAACATAAAAAAATACTAATATCAAGTTTAAGTGTTTACTGTGGATAAAAAGAAAAGCGTAACTGGTAAACGAGCAGAATCTGTACTTTTTATAGTTTAACTTTGGAAGATGAATTTTAAAAATTTACTTTAAATTTGTCTTAATTTTATTTTAAGAAAAATAATTTAACACATTATATAGTAGTTTTGGGTAATACTAGTTCAGATTGATTAGATACAGAAGTTAAAATTCTGAACTTTATGTTTCATTTTTTATTATCAATTCATCATATGTATTATAGAAATTGCCTTGAATACTTCATACTTCATCATATCCGTAAATATTTCCATAGAGAATTTAATTTTAAATAGATATTGAAAATTAAGGCAGTGCAGTTTTCCACTTTTTTTTTTTTTTTTTAAATTTGTTGTTTGAAAGTCTTTTATGTCTGTTATTCTATTGTCCTCATTAATCTATAAAATTCTAAATTATGTTTGAAGGAAATTTTTTCATTTGCTCTATGTTATTATAAGTAAAAAGTATTCGCTTAAATTGCTGATCGAATTTGCTGTATGTGTTTTGGTTGAATGCCTTTGTATTCTGATTTGCAACTTTGAGGGTTGCTAATTTGAAACTAGGTTTTGCATTTTGCTGCCTTACATTCTAATCATCGACCATTTCATCCATGAGGAATTGCAGATTTAATTGGGAACTAAGGGATATCCTCCATTTGAAGTACATGCCTTCCTTTCCTTATTTTAACCACTTAACAGGTTTTATTGTATGTTCAGCATATTTTTGTGCAGCGGATTTGCCCATATGTGGACATTTTGTTTCCAAAGTTATACTTTTCAACTCTTGAATTTAAACTTATTTTCTGTTTGTAGATGGCATTATATAACTGAATGGGTGAGATTTTAGGTTTTTGTTTAATTTTTGCTCTTGAACTCGTAGTGAAATACATGCTTTCTTTTTGATACAATTTGTTTCATTTACTAAATATTTTGCTAGCAAAGTTCCATTGTAAATTATTAAGATTTTTCGATCTTATAATTAAAATCATATAATATAGTTCTAAATTATATTATTGTAATTTGGATGTTTAAATTTTGTGTGTTAACTGAGTATGGAAAACAGAAGAAGCAAGTTGAGGGATTCAGAAAGAGAAAGCAGTGACTGGGAAGGCTTGAACGTTTCAATGGTTATGAAAATTTACTGAAATATCTAGAAGAATCTAGAATATCTGAAATATCTAGACCGAAATATCTAATACTGAAATATCTAGACCGAATCTAGAAGCATTTTGGATTTTCATTGATCTTGGGATGACAAAATTAGTTTTGAAGATCATTTTGAAGATGTTTGGGAAATTACCTATGTCCCTATTTATGTTGAAAATTTTGATTGCCCATGATGTTAAATGAAATTCATGTGTTTTTTGCATTGGTGTTATGCTGCAAGTTATTATAAAAAAATCTGATGTGTACACCACATGACTTCCTTGTACGGAATATTAAATTATACGCATTTTTTCTTGAATTTCATTTAAATTGATTGGATTGAATTAAATCTACTTCGTCGACAGCGATAGATACCACAATAGAATAAACGCACTCTTTAAAATTCACTATATTTGTTTACTATAACGACATTCTGAATGCACAAAATTTATATCATTTGAAGAATTATCATTGCCACATGTTCTATTCAAATACTATAATAAAGCTAAAACGATGTATGAAAGAAATTAAGCAAACAAAAGAGAAAAGAAACAGTTTTTCACAGACGTTTTAGTATTTTTCATTCAATTAATTCAGCTCTCACTTCGCGACAAGGCAAAAATGCATAAAAACTCAAAATATCTGCATTAAAATTACGAAGTAAATCTTAAACACTTATTTCCTCGAAAAAGTTCCAGAAAGGATTAAGCATGATTTAATTCGCAATAATAAATGAAGGCGTAATTTTTGTGTTGCGAAGCTTAGTCTCTCTAGATTGACAACAAATCTACAATTCTGCTGTTTCAAATGTAAACAAATATGTCCGCCATGTTATTAAACTTAACCACACTAAACAGCTTTTAAAATTGTTGATTTGTACAAATTGTTTCCAGAATACGAAGGCATAAAAACCTTAACGAAGATAAAAAACAACATAATTCAATCATTTTAAAGCAAAAAATGCACAATTTACAAACATATAAGAGTAAAGATACTGAGATCACTGAGCCGGGTAACAGAGTGGATATATATATAAATATATTATATATGTTTGGTGCGGCTGATTGCAATTAAAATACGAGGTGCACATCTACATGTTATAGCAGTCCTATATACAAAATTTCAACGTTCTGAGTCCACTCGTTTTTGAGTTATGCGAGATACGTACGTACGGACGCCACAAAAAATTCCCTTCAGAATTAATTTTAAAGCAGTTTTATAATTTTTTTGGAGGAAAGGTGTCTTTTATTCTGTCCTTACCCACAGATATCATGCAAAAACATCGCTAAATTGCATTCGATAGCGGTCAAAATGGATATTTTCATTGAAATATGTTGCCTGAAACTTTTCGCGATTACAGTACTTCCTTTTTACTTCGGCGGAGGAAGTAAAAATGAAAAAAATCCATTGTGATTGAAAGACTGGCATTTCTTGGAACTTATCTTTTCTATTGAAAAAGAAAAAAGCAAATATCCTCATCAGTGTGTTGTATACTGCATTAAGAGAAACAAACAATTTAATGCTTAGCTGTTGAACAAAAAAAAAAAAAAAAAAAAAAAAATGTTGGAAACAAAGCTGATATACTAAAAACTTGGAAGACAAACTGCAGCTGCTTGTCGCCAGAAATATACTTTCTGGATAAGATAAGATTTAAGATAAGAACATATCAAATTGAAATATTAAGTTGTAGCTAAAAGTTTTTATAGATATGTAATAAATATAAAATGCTAAGCTATGTAAAATAAGTTAACTACTCCATATAAGTGAACTCCCGCAGATCTTCTGTGGGTGGGGAGTTGAAGATGATATCCTTAAGTAAGTAACACTTCCACGCCACAGACTTTTAATGAAATATATAAGAAAGCTACAGATTGAATTAAATAACAGTGCCGTTGCCCCTTCTTTTGCGCTTGTTAGATATAAATACAGTTCTGCATCACTCTTTGTATTTAAATAGCTGCTTGGCTTGCTGCCTATTTGCACTCGCTATAATTGTAAAGTTCTTTTGTTTCCATCTTCGCGTGGAATCAACATCTGTCTATATGTCATCTCCTCTTTCACCTCGCTCTTGCTGCAGGCGCATAGGTGATGCCCTCTGGTGGCTGTGTAGAACTAATTGATACCACACAACAATTCTGTTTTTCAACACATTTTATTTCTTGTATGAGTAATAATTAATTGTATTTTTAATTCAAAAACAAGGGAAAACTGTTTTTAATGTTTTCATTCATATAACTACTGAAGTATAAACTTAATTTTTTTAAAATGCTTTTTTGCATGGAAATGTGTCAATAAAGAAATGAAGGGAAAAGTAATAAGCATAATGTCTAAATTTAATACATGCATAATTAATATCATAAAATAAAAAAAATTAATATAAAATTCTGTAGATTATATATAATTTATTTTACTTTATAAAGTATTTCTCCCGCCTTCTTAGCATGCCTTCGTGGTGTAATTGTCAGCACGCTCGGTGCGTATCGAGAGGTCCGAGATTCAAGCCCCGGCAAAAGCATTGCTTATTTTTCACATCTTCTTCCGGCTTCAAAATAACCTAATATTCTCTACAACGATTTTTTTTATCTATATATATTAATACCATAATAATTTTTAATTAGTGTTGTTTATGATTGTAATAAATTGGAAAGAAGTAATGATTAGTATATTTTGTAGATATAATGTAAAGAAAATTATCAAAATATATAGCTCAGTTTACATCTCCATAGCAGATAACATTAGAAACAACATTTGTCTGTAGCTAATTCTAAAGTAATCCTGATTCTGTTTATTGTGTAGTTTAATTCCTATTCAAAATTTGTGGGGTTTGATTTGTTTTTAAGTTACATGATTAAATTTAAATATGTAATTTAGTTAATTAGTCAAGTTAGAATAATTCTCTTGGTTAATTTTCTCAATATTTTAAAAGTCATTTAAAAAGTTTAATCTAACTTAAGGTGTTTATCCCATGATTTGAATTGGTTGTGAGAAGGAATTTATATATATTATTATTTTTTTCCTAATGTAGAAACACAGGAATCTCATTATTGCTTATCTCATCTCATATTTTCTTCCCTGTAATTTTTGGGCCCCAAGAATTTGTTGCCAAAAAAACATCACTAATGACATTTTAATAACTCCTATTTATTTATATGTAACTTCTGGCTCCACTGCAAATTCTATTAGCTAAATCTCTCATTATTAATTAAATGCTTAGCTGTTGAAACAAAAAAAAAAAAAAAATGTTGCAAACAAAGCAGATATACTAAAAACTTAGAAGACAAACTGCAGCTGCTTGTCGCCAGAAATATACTTTTTATAGAGAAAAAAGGTTACAGGTAAGAAATGGCTAAGGATTACCAAAATTTCTCTGGAGATTTTTTGTTGCGAAAAAAGTCTTGATGAGAAAAAATTATAGTGAAGAAAATGTGAGCTAGGGTAATCATTAAAGTGCTGAAATTTATAGTCTAATTAAAAAAAAAATAAAACACTTCATTATTATTTTATTTATTTTCAGGCCTTTTGATGATAACATGTACAGACATGGCTATTTTATGTGGGAATGGCTCTGAAGCTTGCCATGCAAAGTATGGGGCAGTTTCTATGAAAACTGGCAATTGCCATGAGATGGTAAAATATTTTCCTTGTATTTTATTACCTAAGTTTCAATGTTTGTAACAATATGTAATTAATTAAATGAACATTTGTTTCCCCTAATGTTCTTTTTTACATGTAGAAAGAATATTTTCATAGTTTTTCTCTCCTTTTGAAAAGGTACTTTGATATCTCTGCATTATTTACCAAATTATACAGCAATTTCTGATTATTTATTCTTATCAAAATATTTATATTCCATGTTTTTGAAGTTCACATAAGTTATATTCGCAACTAAGAAATATTGGATCTTCCCTGTTATTTTTACTCCACTACATACCTGTTGTATTTCATCTGGTTTTCACTCATGCACAACAAGGCCAGCTGTGCAGTTTGGGCTTCCTAAGCAATTAGTGTAATTGACACTCTATGTAACTTAAACACATCAATAATTCAAAATGAAATATATTTCTATTATTTGTCAGTTGTGAAAACAACATCTATGGTACCATCCAAAAATTGGTAGGCCTATGTTGTCTATGCTTTGAGACTATCCTGATGTGAACTTATTTGGAAATACTAGAACAGATCCTCAGTTTTAATCTGTACTTTCAGTGCTTTTTACACTGTAGCCTTGTAGTCCTTTTTATGTCATATTGTTAACAAAAATTTTTTTTTTAAATATGGCATTCTGTTTTGAACCCTTTACTGAAAGAATAAACTGATATTTTTTATGGTTAGAAAAATTTTACCATTATTTTATAATGGAAAAGATTTTAGAAATGATTTTCTGAATTATGTGTCTGAAGATGTAAAAAATATTTGTTATTTTAAATAGTTCAGGTTTTTAAAGGTAATTCTGTTTTTATTTTAAGGAAAATGGCCTAAATATTAAGTAACTGACTATAAAATCAGGAAAAGCGTCATACCTTCTGATTGACGTAGATTTAATTAAGAGTCTATTGATTTTGAGGATGAACAGGTGCAGGTCCATCATCATCAGGAGAAGAGAAATTTTGCAAAGAAGGGAAGAGCCACAACTGTTTTTATACAAAAGGCAAAGGAGTAAAGCGAATGAGAATGTATAGCCATCTGTCCACAGAAATGATAAAGAAACATGAAAAGTGCTAAGAAAGATTAGATTGAAGTTACTGTTATCAACTAAACAAGATAAATCTTTGTGAACGTGAAAAGTTTCAAGCAGGGAATCTAATTCACCAACTGAGGAAGCTTTTTGGATAAATTTTGAAGACCTCAAGTCTGTGATTAAATTTCCAACTATGATTAGCCATTGATGATTTATTTCTTCTTTTTGGACGTAAGATTCATGTTCCCTAATGCAAAATGTTAACACTCTTTTAGTTTGGCCAATATATCTCAAACCACACTGACAAAATATACTACAAATTCCACAAAAATTAAAGTGAGAAATGAAATCTTTAAAAATCAAACCACGAATTTTATTTATGAGCGAGAAAATGACTTCAAAATTGAACTTCTTGAAAATCCATGCAATTTTGTAACTGACAGAAGGATGAAATGGAAAAACAACAATATTCATGTTATTTCTAGCAGCGAAATGACTTCTTTGACAGCAGGATTTTCGCCAATGACTATGGAAAAAATTTTCTGTCATTGGCAACTGATCTCAAGTAACTGAGTTTGTTAGTAAACAAATATTTTGAAGAACAAACGTTGAGGGTGCAAAATACATAATAGTAAAAAGAAGCCATTTGTTGCTTAGCTGGTTGACATGACATAACATGGGGAGGCAGACAAACATAAAAGGTTCACAATAAACAGTAATGCTGGAATCAGATTCTTTGGGGATTATAAGAATATCAAGGAAAGGAAGGATATTATCAGATTCAGTTTTCAAAGTGAACTCGATAGCTGAATCAATTGAATTTATAACAGATAATATCTGGGATAAATCATCTATATTCCCATCAAAAAATGCAAAAATGTCATCTACGTAGCAAATACAAAGATAAAAAAAAAATAGTTTTACATTTAATTTGACCTTAAAATAGTGCTTGTAAATGTCAGCAAGTACAGGAGTGAGGGGATTACCCGTAGCTAATCCTTCAATTTTGTGATGACATTTATTTTAGAAAACCAAGTGGGTTTGACTCAAGGTTTTGAGAATTCCATTTCAAATGTACTGAAATTGAAGAGTTAATTTCTCATACTGAAGTTATGTGACGTGATGGTTTTTGAAAGAAAAGAAAATGAAGTAAAAAATGATGAATAATTTTTATAATAAACTATTAGAAAAAGCAGAGCTCAATAACCAGTTAAACCTGCTATCTGTGTGTGTTCAGCTTGTGATTAGTGAATAAATAGCAAAACATTCATATAAAAATTTAATGCTTTAAAATATTTTACTATGCTGACATCTTACATTTAATTATTATTCTTTGATTTATTCATTTATTATATTACATGGAGGGCAAAAAAAGAAAAAGAATTTTTGAATTTTTAAGAATTTATTGGAATTTTAATTAATCATACTCAAAAAGTTAGTCATTTTAAATTTATGCTAAAATTCAGAATAAGAAAAGTTTTTATTTTTCTGTCAATATATAGCAAAAGTAAATTAATAAAAAATATGGATTTGTTTGCATGGTGCTTATTTACAGATTTGTTTTTACAGGCACTGAGAATTGTTCTCCAATCAATTGAATCACATGCTAACAGATATGGAAGATACATCGAGCCAGTTTTATCCTTGAGTGTGGATTTCTATGTCAGAGTTTTTGTCAGAGTTTATACCAGCCCAATTATTGTAAAACAAAGTGTGTGGTAAGGCATTTTGATACACATCTGCAGTCAATATTTATTCATATATATATTATATATATATATATATATTTATCCATTTTTATCCAATATATATATATATATATATATTGAAGAACATTTTTATCCATATATAATATATATATATATATATATATATATATATTGGATAAAAATGTTCTTCAAAGTATTTGTAGTCTTCAAATAATAGTTCAGGTTTTTTTAATATTATTTAAGCATATTCATTTGAGGAAGTGAGAGAAAATAATTCTTATGCACCTTAGATTTCTAGAGACACAAGTTTCAAGCTTATTATGCATTAAATGTCTTTTTTTGTTACATTTTCCCCATTTTCCTTTTAACTGACCTTCTCAGTGGCATGTCATTTTGGATTTACTCAGAAAGATCTACTATTTTTTGAGCAACATATTATTGCGTGCGTACGAGTTCGTTATGAAATGAATGCACAAGTCCGATGAAAAATGAACAAAAATTTATTATTATCACAACAAAAATGCTTAAATTTTCTCAAATTATCATGCAGTATTACATATCTCACAAGTAGTTATCTTTTAACTACTCAATGGTCCAATAGCACGTAATTCAAAACAGCTAAAGAAAGCTAATCCGCGAATTCGCTACAATCAACAAGAGCAGTTTTCTAAACAACAACAAACTAAGCACTACTACTACGAACTGAGATGTTTTCCTCCTTTTATAAGCTTTTAAAATCATGCGCTAGAATTTTCCAGTACTTTCTCGAAATCAAAAAGAGATATTTATTTATTTAATGCACGCGCTCTTGCATTTTCAATTTTCTGGCTTAGCTTTCTTTTAATATTCGTCACACGCTGCACTGCACGAGAAATAAAACCATTTAATTTGTAATTGAACTAACATTAGCTTTTAAAATACCAAATTCGTAACACTGCCCCCTTCACAAGGACTGCACGTCCCGGGCAGTACAATTCCTGGACAGGAAGCTAAACTTACAACTGTGGCATAAATGCAACTGAGGCATAAACATTACATCACAATATCAAACAACATGAACAATAAATGCAATAACTAACTTAAATCAAATGCTATCAAATACTAAATACAAAACAAATACTAAATACAAATCAAATCAAATATACATTTAAAAACAAAAAGGACCATGGTCTTATACTATTTACAATTATTTACATTACGTATCGAGCATCTGAGATGGAGAATAGCTGGTAGTCTGGTGTTTCTTTTCGACCCTAGCATGATTTCGGCTGTTTCTCGAGCTGGTTCTTTCGGACAAAGCGTCGGCATTTCCAGGTGAGGATCCCTTCTTAGGATCGATAGTCATGTCTTCAGATCCTGAAAGCAGTTTGTTGTTTTTCAAGTCTAAGGAAAAATGGTATTTCTTTAAAAGTCCAATCCGAGTATGCATGGATCTGTGATATCCGCCACATATGCCGTGTGATGGTAGGCGGCACTTCCAAACGTGATGCTTACGTTTAACTTCCCAGTTATGTCGATCTTATCACCAGACGCAGTCTGAAGGGTAACACACAGAATGGCGTCCAAATAAGTTTATCTTTAAACTGTTCAGCTAAATCTTTCCTAATGATGGTAACATTAGCTCCTGTGTCAATGATCATATTGCAAGGAACTCCATCGATATTCCCATTAATGGACAGTCCGTTACTGTTGCCTCTCACTGTATAAATTTTAAGCGCTTTAAAACAAGGTTTTTCATTATCTGGCAACCTCCGTTCCTCGATATGGTCACTAATTTGTTTACTGCGTCGTTGCTGGTAAATGCTCTTATTTTCCGTACCTTGGGGTGTTCTGCAATTCTTTCGTACGTGGCCTTCAGCTCCACAGTTCCAGCACTTTGGTTTCTTGTCAGTCCTTTGCCTTCCTGTGGCATTTAATTGTCTGTTTAAATCGTATGCCTTATTTTCCGTGCTCTGGGGAGTTCTGCAATGCCGTCGTAGGTGACCTTCAGAACCACATCTCCAACATCTTACAGCCACTTTGTTCTCACTGCTACTTCGTATCAAAGCATCGACTTGTCTGGATAAATCATCTAAACGAGCCATCAGTTGATCTACTGGCTCATGGACTCGCACAGCTCTAACTGGGTGGCGGTCTCGACAAGTGGCTTGCTGGGCAGCCTCCAATTTCATGGCGTACATACACTAAAGCGCTTTTCAAATCTTTAACATCCACCATTCGTAGAGCCTTCTGTATTTCGGGATCCCGGATGCCATCGATAAAGTACTGCAGGGACAGGATTTCCCTCGTTTCTCTCGGGCACTCCGTAAAGGCGAGGTGGGACAGCCTTTCAACATCTGTGGCGAGTTCCTGGAGTGATTCGGTGGGCTTCTGTTGACGGGATTTTAATTGAAGCCTGCTGTAGTCTTTTAAACATTTCTCGCCAAAGCGCAGCTCCAATGCACCGGATAAAGCTTCGAAGTCAAGTCTTTGGTTTTCTGGAAGCGTCTGCAGGATATCCGCTGCGTCTGCTCTCAGAGAAGCGGCGAGATGGCAGGCCTTAGTTTGGGAATCCCATCCATTCGCATCCGAAACGATAGAAAATTGTGTTTTATACACTTGCCAGGATGTCTTCCCATCATATGTGCATAGCTTCAGAGAGGAGCGAGCAGGCATAGATAGAAATTTAAAACTTTCAGAATTGCTTCCTGCAATCGCTATGCACTTCTTTAGGCTGTCAACTTCTTTGGCGACGGGCAGCAGAAACCCTATCATCAATTTGGGATTCGATTGTTGTTTAACAGAACAAACTCTTCCTTCTATTTCTCTTTGACAGAATCAAACTCTTAACCTATTTGTTGTTCCACTGCCGAAACTCTGTCTTCTATTTGCTCTTTCACAAAAAGACTTTTTCTTCAATTTGTGTCCAACTTTAATTTCAACCGCGTCTATTCTGCCTCCCATAACCTCAAATTTATTTTCTATTATGCAGGTAATTTCTGTTTTCATCTCTTCTTGTCTTGCTTCAATCTTTTCCTGTCCTGCTTCAATCTTTTCCTGATTAGATTTCATATCTTCTTTCAACGAGGCAAAGGCTGAGATCAACTGCCTTAATTGCTCTTCCATCACTCTTGTTATTGGCATTCAAATTCCACTTCTGACACCAAAAATTATTGCGTGCGTACGAGTTCGTTATGAAATGAATGCACAAGTCCGATAAAAAATGAACAAAAATTTATTATTATCACAACAAAAATGCTTAAATTTTCTCAAATTATCATGCAGTATTACAATATCTCACAGTAGTTATCTTTTAACTACTCAAATATCCAATAGAACGTAATTCAAAACAGCTGAAGAACGCTAATCCGCGAATTCGCTACAATCAACAACAGCAGTTTTCTAAACACAACAAACTAAGCAACTACTACAAACTTGAGATGTTTCCTCCTTTTATAAGATTTTTAAAATCACGAGCGCTAGAATTTTCCAGTACTTTTCTCGAATCAAAAAGACAAAAAATTGATATTTATTTTTTAATGCACGCGCTCTTGCATTTTCAATTTTCTGGCTTAGCTTTCTTTTAATATTCGTCACGCGCTGCACTGCGCGAGAAATAAAACCATTTAATATGTAATTGAACTAACATTAGCTTTTTAGATACCAAATTCGTAACAATATATTAACAACATTTGTAAATTTGCTATTTTAGTCTTCGTTTTCATAGGCTTTCATTCATTAAAGTTTGATCATTGTAAAAAAATAAGAAAACAAAATATTTTAAATAATAGGTTAATATATAATAAATGATAAAAAAAAAATATCGTGACCGGATAAAGGTAGTTGTGTCATTCACAGAGTTAATAATCATCATGTTGTCTATGCATTTCAATATACATACTTTCTTCATGCATTTTGATTACACCTTATGATATGAGAGAGGGTTAATTGTAAATCATTAATATTTAAAATTTAGAAATATTAAATGTTGAACAGTGCATTGTGAATTTCTGAGTACAGGTAATATATTTTAGTCATGTAAAATCTATTTCAGCATCTTTTCCATTTGCTGTATTCACCAGACCTTGTCCCTAGTGATTTTCATATCTCTGAATGTTCAAAGAGGCTTTGATGTGGGTTGAGTCTTATAAAGTGTGAAGCAAGCAGTAACTGAACTGAAATCCAAAAGACATTTTTACATTACATACCCATGCACTTCAAAGTGTTATGCCAACAAGCTGAGCAGTAAAACTACTGAACACTGGTAGTTTAGTGGTATTATCTTGCTATAAAAGGCCTTCAGATGGCATTGTTGTAACTATGACAGTAGGATTTTGTCAATATGTGTTTATTATCCTGACGAGATTATATTAGGTATGTGTTCTGTGTTGAATTTGCATAATTTGTGGTGTATTCAATGCATTTGTATTTAATGTACACAATGCTGCAAAATATGTAGTCCAAATTAATTCAGTGATTAGGTAATGTACCAGACATGTGTTTCAAGTTGTATATTTCGCAGTGACTGCCTAAAGCATCGCAACAAAAACATCACGGAGAAAGCAAGGAGAAAAGATTACAGATTTAAAACATTATGGCATAAAGCATTGTGGCAGAACATAAAACATTGGTGAAACTTCATGGTTTTAATATGCCATGGTAGGAAAAGCAAAACATTTAAAACATGTATTATCAGATTTTAAAAACTTCATATGTATCATCAGCAGTAATCTGCAATAATTTGTGAGTATGAGAAGAATAAAAAACATTTTTGTGTATATTACTTCTGATTTTTGTATTAACTATAAACTTGTTACCGAAAAATCAAGAAGGAAATTTAAGCAGGAAATGAGTAGAAGTTATAACTATGAATAATAGTTAACGGAATTTTAAACTAATGTAGAAAGCATCAAATCTTTGTTAAACTTACCCTTTTCTTTTAATGTATTAAAATTTTTTCATATAATACAGAAAAATATTCCTCATTTTGTCTCATGCTCACAGGTGCTTTTACTGCAAAAGTGAAGAAAATTTGAAACTTTTAAAATCTGAAAATGCAAGTCAATGATGTTATTGTCATGTGATGTTTTATAAATATTTTATTTTTAAGTGTTTTTGTGCAATGTTTTTTGTGATAATGTTTTAAAACTCTGAATTTTTTTTTTCAGGTTTCCTACCATAGTATTTTAGAATGTGATGTTTTCTCCTTTCTTTTACCCTCCTTTCTTTCTGTGATATTTCATAAGTTAAATTCTTTCATGTTGTTTTGTCTGACAGTTTTATGAGTGAGTGTATTTCCCATGTGCTTAGAATGATTGCATTGACTCAATGGCTGTGTATTTAATATCATTTGGCTGGCTGAGAGGTACTTGCTGAGATTTTATTATAGAAAGATTCTTCTAGGCGATGTAATTTTTTGACACAATATATTTTAACTATTCAAAATGTTATTCAGTGGGTGTATAATTTTATACTTTTGAATATTAATAAAATATAAAAAAAAGCATCTTGCATTTATAATTATGAAAATTTTTTTTCAGCAAATTGGCTATGGTCTATGTTTGTTCCGAATGTGGATCATTTCACCTGCAGCAACTTGGTAACAGAGTGAAAACTGAAAAGGGGTTTGTTTCCTTTTTCCTATATTGTATATTTTGTATAAAAATCTAATTCATCAGACATTTTTATGAACATGCATCTGATTTAAGTGTATATAAATATGTGAAGAATTAATTACACATGAAAGAAAGTGCGAGTCTTTCAGGATCTTTTAATAGTTCATATGTTATTCTTTGCATTTTGATGATGAGAGACTTGTTTTTTAAAGCTAATTTTTCATTTTGATGTTAAATTTAAATTGTGTAATAATTAGAAAACTAGAAAATTGTTTTAAAAAGTTGGGTTACTTTTGAGTTCATCCATAGCAAAACATTCAGCATTATTTTTACTAGCATTTCTCACTACTCTAGATGAGTTCATAAATCACAATATTGCTGTAAAGTAAATTAAGATCAGATGAGTTCAAACATATCATATTGCTCATAGGATTACAGGATGCTTTGTAGAGCTTTTATAAAGTAGATCCAAAAGTGGGCCATTTTCTCTTACATGTTGTGCTGTTAATAATTCTGTTTTTAAACTTTAAAAACAGAGTTTTTGGAAATTAGAGAAATCATTTTGAATGTCATGTAACTTAAATTGCAGAAAATTAATTATATGAAGTATAATTTTAATACACTTTAAAAGCACTCTAATAATCACTTTCTATGCTCAATGTTTACAGATGAGTATTTCTAAGTTTATGTTATTACACAGATGAAATGCCATATAGAAACCATACAGATAAAACATGATATAGAAATTGACATTAAATGGCATTCCTAATAAGAAAATAGGGAATAAATAGAGGGAAATAATAGTAAATGCACAAGTAAAATAAAAAGAGACACAATGGGAGTCATCTCTTAGATGGCTGCTCAGGGTTCTAGAATCTCCCATGGAAGTAGTTATCTTAGCCAAATATCGATGGTGTCTATTAGCTAGGTCCAGCAAAACATCAATCTGTGGTACTATATAGAAGTGCTGGCCTAACTTCTATCTGTTCTTGTTTGAATCATAGCCATCCAGGCAGGATAATGATTAGTGATGCTGACTGCTGTTTTGAAGGGATGGTTTCAAATCCCAGTGAAGGTGTGGATGTTTGTGAACATGTAGTGTCTATGTGATAAGGGGCATTCAAAATACATTGTTGAAATCCTCTTGAGAGGTTGGTGGTAAGGGAAGAGGGCTGTAAGATCCATAGATCACATCCCAAATTGTTGTCTCTCAGATTTTCTCCTGGTAAAATTATAAAAAGAAAAATGCAGTCATTTAATATTTTCATAGAATATGTAAGTTAGCATCAAAGTACCATTAGTCTTAATTCTCATGTTTTGGCTACATCACTTTACAAATAAAAGGATGTTTCCACCAAATTTTTTTGCCATGTATAATTTTTATAGAGTTAATATAAGTAATACAAGAATAAGAGCTAATAAAAGGAAATATAAAAAAAGTATGGCAACACTTAATACTGTCAGGAGTTCTAAAGATTTGCTGTTTTTAAATATCTTGTGATTTTCTTACTGAATTTTTAATTATAAAAAGACATGGAAAACTGTGTAAGTCATTGTACTAAGAAAACTGAGTATTGATATGCTGAACTATCAAAAGAATGGGAGAGGGAATAGAAAATGTATAACAGCACTTTAACACTCTACTGGGAATTTAAAAATTTCTGATTTTACTGTTGAATTATCTGTTGAATTTATACCTGTGTTGACATAAATGTGAAGAATGCACTGTTCAGTAATAAAGTTAAAAGGGGGAAAAAAGTTCTCTTCACAGGGGTGAGTCCAAGAGCAGACTGATAATCTGCAAGCTGAGGTACAACATAAAAAACCCTCCAGTGTGACATCATAATCTAAATCCTTTCAAATTTGTTTCTTTTTTTAGAGAGGGGTACTTATTTTTGTCTCCTAAAGGAACAAACTGTAATGTTTATAAAAGTTAATGAAGTAAAAGAGAAAGAGATGCATAGGTACACTAAACTATCAACTCCAAAATGAATATGATCAATTTCAATAGCAGGCAAAACAAAAATATATTGTTTTGGCACCATTTTATCATTGATTTGTGATACAATACTAGCTGCTTTGACTGAAAATGGAAAAGTTAATATAAACAAAATAGAAAGGGGATAACTTGTTTAAAGAAAGCTGTTTCGTAATCCAAACCATGTTTACATGATGTTGGAATATATAACTTTGATGAGTTTTACTGTAGTCAGTTAACAAATGCATAAAAATAAACAATGTATTAATTATCAATTACATGTGTAAATACTGCTGTCAAAGTTATGGAAATGTTGGAAAATGTCGAGTTTTGTAAACCTTGTTAACTGTTCTCTATAGTCCATTGGTGAGAGAAAAGTAAAAATATTGTTACAAATTTGGTATTTAAAAAGCTAATGTTAGTTCAATTATAAATTAAATGGTTTTATTTCTCGCGCAGTGCAGCGCGTGACGAATATTAAAAGAAAGCTAAGCCGGAAAATTGAAAATACAAGAGGCGTGCATTAAATAAATAAATATCTCTTTTGATTTCGAGAAAGTACTGAAAATTCTAGCGCGTGATTTAAAATCTTATAAAGGAGGAAAACATCTCAGTTTGTAGTAGTTGCTTAGTTTGTTGTTGTTTAGAAAACTGTTCTGTTGATTGTAGCGAATTCGCGGATTAGCGTTCTTTAGCTGTTTTGAATTACGTTCTATTGTACATTTGAGTAGTTAAAAGATAACTACTGTGAGCTATTGTAATACTGCATGATAATTTGAGAAAATTTAAGCATTTTTGTTGTGATAATAATAAATTGTTGTTCATTTTTCATCGGACTTGTGCATTCATTTCATAACGAACCCGTACGCACGCAACAATTTTTGGTGTCAGAAGTGGGATTTGAATGCGAATAACAAGAGGGTGGAAGAACAATTGGACAGCTCATTATTGCTTTGCGTCCAAGAAAAGATGGAAGCTGGCCAAACATCTTTTAAAGAAGAAATTAAAGAGAAATGGATGCTGGTCAAAGGTCCGTTAAAGAAGAAATGAAATTGGGCCAGGAATCCTCAGGAAGAAATGAAAACGCACAGGAACAAAAATTGGGCCAAGAATTTTAAGAAGAGATGAAGGCCATTCAAGCTGGTAATTCTTTTAAGAAAATGAAAGTTGTTAAGGAAATCTGTTAAAGAAGAATAAAAGCTGAACAAGTCAGATTGAAATAAATCAATACGAAATGAAAAGAAATTGCCTGCATAATAGAAACCAAATTCAATGCTATGGAAGACAATAGATTGTTGAATAAGTGGGAAATTGAGGAATAAGTTCTTCCTTAAAGAAGAAATAGAAGGAAGAGTTTGTTCCGTTCAAAAACAATCGAACAACAAATTGAATGACCGGGTTTTTGCGGTTGCAAAAGAAACTGGAAACTTTAAAGAAATTCGTAGCGCGGCGGGAGCAAGAGTGATGATTTTAAATTCTTACCGATGCTGCTCGTCCATCTCTGAGCTATCCACATATGATGGGAAGACATCCTGGCAAGTGTATAACCCCGATTTTCTATCGTGGCGGATGCGAATGGATGGGATTCCCCAAGCTAAGGCCTGTCATCTCGCCGCTTCTCTGAGAGCAGACGCAGCGGATATATCCTGCAGACGCTTCCCAGAAAACAAAGGACTTAGATTCGAAGCTTTATCCGGCGCTTGGAGCTGCGCTTCGGCGAGAAATGTTTAAAAGACTACAGCAGGCTCCAATTAAAATCCCGTCAACAGAACTCACCGAAACACTTCAGGAGCTCGCCACGGATTGAAAGGTGTCACATCAACGCCTTTTCAGAGTGCCCGACAGAAACAAGGGAAATCCTGTCCCTGCAGTACTTTATCGATGGCATCCGGGATCCCGAAATACAGAAGGCTCTACGAATGGCGGATGTTAAAGACTTGAAAAGCGCTTTAGTGTACGCCATGAAATTGGAGGCAGCCCAGCAAGCCACCCGTCGAGATTGCTACCCAGTCAGAGCTGTGCGAGTCCACGAGCCAGGGGATCAACTGATGGCTCATTTAGATGAATTAGCCAGACAAGTTGACGATTTGATACGTAGTAGGAGCGAGAACAAAGTGGCTCTAAGGTTGTTGGAAATATGATAGTGAGGGTCACATAAGATGGAATTGCAGAACCCCCCGAGGTACGGAAAATAAAACAGATGATTTTACCAGACAAGTCAGTGGCTTGAGACGGAACAGAAGTGAAAAGAAACCAGTTCTAAAGTGCTGGAACTGCGGTGTTGGAGGCCACGTGCGAAGGAACTGCAGAACTCCTCAGAGCACGGAAAATAAGACAGACGAGTTGAACAGACAATTAAATGCTCTCGGACGAAAAAGGAGTGACAAGAAACCAAAATGCTGGAACTGTGGAACTGAAGGCCACGTACGAAGGAATTGCAGAACACCCCAGGGGACGAAAATTGAGACCATTTCTCAGCAACGATGCAGGAAACAAATGAATGACCATATCGAGGAACAGAGGGTACCAGAGAATGAGAAACCTTGTTTTAAAGCGCTTAAAATTTATACAGTGAGTGGCAACAGTAACGGACTGTCCATTAATGGGAATATCGATAGAGTTCCTTGCAATATGATCATTGACACAGGAGCTAATGTTTCCATCATTAGGAAAGATTTAGCTGAACAGTTTAAAGATAAACTTATTTGGACGCCATCCTGTGTTACCCTTCAGATTGCGTCTGGTGATAAGATCGACATAACTGGGAAGTTAAACGTAAGCATCACGTTTGGAAGTGCCGCCTACCATCACACGGCTTATGTGGCGGATATCACAGATCCATGCATACTCGGATTGGACTTTTTAAGGAAATACAATTTTTCCTTAGACTTGAAAAGCAACAAACTGCTTCCAGCATCTGATGGCATGACGATCCATTTTCAAAAGGGATCATCGCTTGGAAACGCCGACGTCTCATGTCCGAAAGACTCCAGCTCAGGAAGCTGCCGAAATCATACTAGGGTCGAAGAGAAACACCAGACTACCGGCTATTCTCCACCCTCAGATGCTCTTCGGTCGAGACCTTCGTCTGCCTTGTGACCGCCTGTTTGAGTCTCCATACGGATGTGCCTTCATCGCCTGAGGAACACATCCAAGATGGACATCTTGGATGTGTTCCTCAGGCGATTTGAAATGATGCATCCGGTTTGAAATGATGCACCGTTCTGCACGAAAGCAAATCAACTTGGCGACAGAGAAAATGAAGACCAGATGCGACACAGGAGCCTGAACACGAATGACGTCGTGGTTCGGATCCGTGAGTCTTCGAACTCTTACGACAGGCTCATTACTATGGCCATAGTATATAATGTAAGTAATTGTAAATAGTATCAGACCATGGTCCTTTTTGTTTTTAAATGTGTATTTAATTTGATTTGTATTTAGTATTTGATTTGCATTTAGTATTTGATTTGTATTTAGTGTTTGTTTTGTATTTAGTATTTGATTTGTATTTAGTGTTGGTTTTGTATTTAGTATTTGATAGCATTTGATTTGTTTAAGTTAGTTATTGCATTTATTGTTCATGTTGTTTGATATTGTAATGTAATGTTTATGCCTCAGTTGCATTTATGCCACAGTTGTAAGTTTAGCTTCCTGTCCAGGGATTGTACTGCCCGGGACGTGCAGTCCTTGGGAAGGGGGCAGTGTTACGAATTTGGTATTTAAAAAGCTAATGTTAGTTCAATTATAAATTAAATGGTTTTATTTCTCACGCAGTGCAGCGCGTGATGAATATTAAAAGAAAGCTAGTATCTCTTTTTGATTTCGAGAAAGTACTGGAAAATTCTAGCGCGTGATTTTAAAATCTTATAAAAGGAGGAAAACATCTCAGTTTGTAGTAGTTGCTTAGTTTGTTGTTGTTTAGAAAACTGTTCTTGTTGATTGTAGCGAATTCGCGGATTAGCGTTCTTTAGCTGTTTTGAATTACGTTCTATTGTACATTTGAGTAGTTAAAAGATAACTACTGTGAGCTATTGTAATACTGCATGATAATTTGAGAAAATTTAAGCATTTTTGTTGTGATAATAATAAATTGTTGTTCATTTTTCATCGGACTTGTGCATTCATTTCATAACGAACCCGTACGCACGCAACAATATTTCTCCTCTCACATCTTACTTGATCTAGTGATAGTCTTAAGTTACTGAGAAACATGAATATATGCTGAAGAATATAGGAAAACTACATAGTCATGGAGTTGCTGAGAAGAAAACTTGAGAAAGTATAATACATATGAGTATAGTTTAATACCACATCATCTGAAACTTTGTATTTGGGGCCATTAAAATAATTTACTGCGTTTGATAGCTTTATTTAAGATGGTATTACTCATCTTGATTTGGCATACTGTTTCAGTGATCATTTTTAATACTTTATTTTGTAAAATTTGAAACTTTTTGAAATTTATAAAATTCGAAGCCTGCCTGATAACCATAGGCCATGCTGGTGAGGCAGTGATGATAGGCCATACAGTAGCTATATAATTTTTTTAATGAATAAATTCAAATTAGAATGCCTTTCTAGGTGAAGTTTATTTGCCTATATAAAATTTTCTGTTTGATGATAATGTTGTGTGCTTTGCCAAGCATGCATCTTATATATTTAGTCCAAGTATGTTTTTCTTTAGGGTAATAATTAGTTGTTTAAGCCTATAAATGATGTAAATTTATTGAATATAATCTATTATATTAATTTTTGTTCATAATACATTGTATTTATTATATTTATTTTATCTTGTCTGCCTTATAATTATTCTTGTTCCCATAATTTATGATTAATGTAGGTATATTTGGATAATTTTTATCTTCTACCAACTCTATTATGCCTCTGTATCTGAAATTTCGATATATAATATAGATATTTGTTTTAATTTAAATTCTGTAAACACCTGAAAGTAGCTGCTGGACAGCAAGCACTGCATCTATTTTGACAAAATTAATAATTTGATAAAACTTAACTTGTTTTCTGAAGTATTGAAAGAGTTTGAAATTTAAATTGCATTTGGACTGCACAAGTATTTTAGTTATTTTTAGATTCATTGATAGAAGGCATTATTGATCAGTGTAAATATTTCATTAATATTTTTCCTGTATTATCATAAAGATCTTCAATTTAGAAATGTCTTTTAAACAAAAAGTTTTTGTATGAAGTACAAATATAATACATTAAAATGCCTTTCATGTAATGAAAGACATACACATTTTGAGCTATGAATTTGGCTTCTATGTAAAAAGTTATTTTTTTATAAAAAAAGATATAAGATATATAAGAAGAAACACATAAAACTATTTTCGTCTGAGAATATAATGCAAAATCAACTGAATGAATGGCTTTGTGAAAATAAACTGTTAGAATACTTGACCTTTTTTGATTATCCACACCCCATGCCGAAAATCACAAAAAAGTACTTGTGAGACAAAGCAGTACACTGCCCAAATAGTTATATGGCAACCTAAAAATAGTGCCTAAAAATATTTATGTGGCAACTCAGTTATGCTTGTAGCATATGTCTGTTTTGGCAGCCCCAAAATGCAATGTTAAATATGCAATTGCCGGATGTTCTCTCTCTCTTTTTTTTTAAGACACATTGCTATGTACATGGGTAGAACAACAGTGCAGAAAAGGATTTCTCAAAAAAGGAAGTATTTTATTATTGGTATTTCTTTTTTTTAAAATTCATTTATTGCACTAGTATAGAATTCTTTATGAGCCATTGTTTGGGAAATGGCTGTTCTCTTTCATGCATTAGCTTGGGGAAAAATTAGCTACCAACAAGTTTGCGAATGCCAATGTTGGCAGTGTTTGCCACAGTTTTTCATTAAGGGTGCAGATGATCAGAAAGTACCAAATACTATCTAATTTCTTTTTTAAGTTTCTCATCATTTTTGATTTAATAAGTTATGCAAATATTGTCTACTGAGGTTTAGAAGAGAAAGTAGTTCATACATTCCTGATCTTTCAAGGAAATGGGATGATTTAGAATATTCACACCTTTCTTTGTAATAAATGATTTAATGACAAATACATTTTTTTTGTTAGTTATTATTGCAGTGTTATTAATTTGTTGTATAAAGATGCTTTATCCTGTAGTGAAAGTAAAAGTTAATTGATAAAGCACTTGACTTAATAAGGTAATTTTGTTTTAGAAGTTATATTGTTTTTTTCTTTGTAGAAAATTAAGACCTCCCCAATTTGTTTGGAATAATTGATGGAAACTTTTGTTTGAAGAGAAAGTGGAGTCCTTTCGAGCAAAAGTATTTCATGACTTATTCCTTGTGGTAAATGAACAATATTCTTTCCTGAAGGCTTCTGAAATCAAAATTCAGTGGCTAATGCAATTTTTCCACAAAGCTAATGCATGAAAGGCAAAAGACATTTTTAAAATATCAGCTAGCTATTAAATCATCCCATTTCTTTGAAAAATCAGGAATATATGAAGTACTTTCTCTTCTAAACCTCAGTAGACAATATTTGGATAACTTTTCAATTTAAAAAATACCATACAACAGTTATATAACAAAAACTGCATACTACAGCAATCTATCAAATTTTAAAAAAACAAGAAATATCAGTAATAGTATAACTTTTTATAGAAATCATTCTTTTTTGCATCTCGTGTACACAACAATATGTTTTTATTTAAAAAATACAGAGAATCACACAAACTTGTCATCCATGCAATTTGGCATCACACAACGGCCAAAAATGATCTGCGCTCTGTGCACACGCGGGTTACCATATAACTGTTTTAGTACCATACTGCTTTGCCTCTGAATACTTTTTAATGACCTTTTTAGTGGGGGTGTGGATAATCAGAAGGTGTCCATTTTCTTTTATTGCATATTTTTCGCATCAGTGTGTTTAAGCTGTGTCTTTGCTCAAATTAAACTTATTTGCTATAATATGAAATGACTGATGCTGACTTTGTTGCAATGTTAATATTTATTTAAAGCTTTGAAGAAAATCATTTATGGGCTCATAAATTTTTCTTTTCATCATGAGATGTTCTGTACCACCACAAAATATTAAATTGTATAAATATTCTTGTTCTGTTTTGGTTGCACATACCATTTCTTTTTTGCAACTTTATTAGCTTTAAGGCAAAACCATATTGCTTCTCACTAGTATTTGAATTTGCATTATCAAATGCTAATTTAAAATCAAATTATCAAATTTCATTTAAACGTATTGGTGTAAGCAATTAATATTTGAGAAATAACATGCTGAAATTAGTTATTTGGCAGATTTATTTGGAAAAATTGTCCTGGAACATTGTAGAAAGAGGTTTCCCCCCCAAGTTATTTTTGCTATTGCTTACAATGCATTGCTTTTTTAGGTCAATTTTTATATCTTTGGTATCCTCTTTCAGAAAAATATTCTGCTGGCGTTGGACCCCCAGTTAATATGAAATGCAGCATCTGTGATGGATCACATAAAGTAAAGCTATGCTAATCTAGTATAGTTAGTTTTTGCATACTATTATATGTACAATTTTCTAATAATTTTATTATAATTATTAAAGTTTTGAAATGTTATAGCATACTTTGAAGATGTGTGCAAAATATAAATTCTGTAGTACCATATTTTGATTAGGTTGGTGGGCCCATTTGGGCAGAAAAGCTACATAACAAAGAGTTCATCCAGAAGACCATACAACTAGTTGATGGGGAAAAGGAATGTTACAATACTTCTAAAAGAATGTTAGGAATGTTAAATGTTATCTTAGAGGTATGGCTTTCTTAAGATTACTTATATTTTATATAATAAATAGATAAATGTTTCTGTAGTTTTTAAAATTTAACCTTATGTATTTTTCCTCCTATAAATAAAATCTACTTTTGACTGCCCAAATGGTATAGTGGTTAGGGGAGCCTACTGTGATACTGAAGGTTGAACCCTAGAAAAGGCATGGATGTTTGTAAATTTATAGTGTCTGGTAGCATGGGTGCACTCTGAATATGCAGTGAGCCAGAAGTCCTCTCAAGAGTTTGGTGGTAGGGAAAGAGGGGTGGGAGACCCTCGGACTCATTCTCACAGGATGCTCTCTTTCAAAATTGGGGGTGGAAATGAACAATGTTGTACTGTCACCTGTGGGATGCTGAAGGCTTTGCCATTGACATGTGCAATCTAGCTCTACTTGCCGCGATGATTTTCATGGCTTATTCTGATGTCATTGTTAGGCAAATGGGATAAGTTACAACACAAGTCTGCTTTTGCCTGATTGTCAGATTAGCTACGTCTTCATATTTATTATCACCAGTGAAATATTTTTTCTGTTTTATTTCATTTAATGACTTATTTATTAAAATTATTTTATATTTTAAAAAATTGTTTTTTAAACATTGGTTTAATGAAATATATATGGTTTAGTTATGGAAATTATTTTGATTAATTGATAGATGATGCTAGTGTCACTTGTGAAATGCAACGTGCCTTCTGAATTTCCATATCCTCTCCGCCGGCAGTTCGATAGATGGATGTTTGATGCTTCGAACACTAGTCGATTAGGAACATTTCGGTGCCTATTTAAAAGATTTCGATTTTCGATTATGAAAGCATATAGATTTGTTTGTCAGCTGAACCATCATGTTTTGATTAATGATCTGTAAATATTGTACATATTAAAAGTTACATTTTAAAAGTGATTGATGTCTATTTATAGCAATCTTAGAATATTTGAAACAATAGTAAAATGTATAATATAAAACTAGGATATCCTATGCGCATTTTATAATGTTATTGAGCTTAGCAATTTAAAAGCTTAATAAGTTTTCTCTGAAGTCTAAAAATATTTTCGATTTCAGTTGTTAAAAAATTCTGTTTAAAAAGCATACTAACTTTGACCACAGCATTAAGAGATTTTTTTTTTTAAAATTTTTTTTAAAATTTTTAATTTACAGCCTTTTTTAAAAAAGGAGCAGAGCAAACGGAAATATTTCAGTTTTCTTGTAGTTCTTAGAAATATAATAATTTTGGCATTTGTGAACAACTTAAATAAAGTGATTTCTAATTTGTTGAATAGACTATAGAGTAAAGAGCAGTTGGATGCTGTTACAAGCAGCAAACATGAAAGAACTTTTGAAATTAAACAAAAAAGCACATTTAGTTTGGTATAGACTGTAAATTAATTTTTATCGATTTCAAGGGTGTTCAGACAAAGGTTCCTATTTTTTAAAATCAAGGGGAAAAAAATTACATGTTCATATTACAATGCTAACTCTCCAACATTTCAAACTGTAATGGAATTTTTAGTTTAAGTTTGATATTATAATTTTTAATGTGTGTATATAAACAAAAATCTTTCTTTTTGTATTTACCTTGCTGTGTATGTTGCAGGAAGCTGTTTGTTACTGATAATAAATATTATCCCATTATCTTTAGGTCTGTTTTGTGTTTATATTTTAAAATAAATATTTTTATAAATGACAAAAGGGATTTCAAGCATAATTATTTATAGGAATACATGAGAGTAATAAGTGCATATGTGTACATCTTTGCAGGAATTAGATGACTGTCCTTTATTCCACAGAATTGAGAAACTGTCTAGTATCCTTCATGTTTCTACTCCAACCAATAAACAGATGAGGTAAATTAAATCTTTTAAATTATGTGTATGAAACTGCTTTTTACTTTCTAGAATCAAGAAGAATGTAATATCTCATATTCAAAATTTGGAAACTATAATTAATAAAAAAATTGCTAACTTTCACATTTTGTATAGTGGCATTTGTTCAGTGTTTTGCAATAAGTTATCAGAATACTTTCTTTGAATTTTGCCATTTACTTCCACACAAGGTTTCCTAGTGGATACTTCAACTATAATTCAATCCAGTTTCTTTAGATGGTATTGTTAATGGGGGGGGACTAAAATAATGCATTTTTTTAGGTATATATGTAATGACAGAACAATTTTGGAGGCACTGAAATATGAATGCTGAGAGGTAGATGCATAGAAATACTAATTGTGTAGATACTTGATGCTTAGAGTGTCCATCCATTTTGAAGAAGTTGAGTTGGATTAAATTCCTTTTATTTATTTAAATTCACTTGTGGCCACAATCCAGTTATGAATATTGAGAATAAGTGAATTATGGAATATTGGGCCGTTCTATTCTGCATTATCGAATATTGGGCCCTTCTACCAGTAATCTTGAATCATTTTTATGTTCCCCATTTGCAAGAATTCTCTCAGAAAAACTAAAAATTCATCCACTTTTAAATCTTTCCAAAAAGTTATTCATGACTTTTCTTTCATTTCAACGCTATGTTCTATTTTTAGTGTGTAAGAATTTATTTCTTAGACAAATTTTTCTGCAAATCCTTCGGTAAGGAAAAGGCGAAAATATCCAACAGCAGTACTTTATCGGAGTAATAATGGGCTCTCCACTCGTGCCTATTAAAGAACATTTACAATTTTGATATTGTTGCCATAGAAGTGAGTATAGCAGCACACACATGATTGCAGAAAGACGTCTGGCCAAGAGGAAAGCACATGCAAAAGTGACACATCAGTTCATAGGAAAAAAGGAGGGAGTCAAAAGTTTCAGTTTTTAGTTTTGGTTTACAAGTCGGTGATTGGTCAAGAGGCATTAAGGGTTACGTAAGATCGCATTATTAGTTTGAATGACACTGTTGTATCTCTCAATAGAATTCTAAAAGGTAAAAAGAAATCTCTTACCTTTTCTTTCACCCGGGAGCCGAGCTTGTTCCATTCTAATTCTTATTCGATGAAATATCTAAACAATTCCAAGCTTTTGCATAAAAACTGACACTTCTGTATAAATAAAGATATTATATTTAGATACAGTTATATACAATTATTAGATTACATGAAATTACGCGCTCTCCAGCTAACAGTCAATCAAGTTCGGATTCAGAGTTCTAACTACGTTCTTACGTAAGATTATTCTCGAGTTTAGATGTAATGGTGCTGATAGTTCGGAGTTTAGATGTAGGCGCTGATAGTTCGGAGTTTAGATGTAACATCTCCTCCCACCATTGAGATCCGACGATGCGGAGGAACTCAATAGACACAGGTTCAGTCGATGAGGAGGCCGAACAACTCGTCCAGCTCTGGTCATCACTCAAGGACTTGAGGCAGGTTCTGGAATACTAGCAGCCTGATCAGCCTGACCAGTTGCATGGTCGTTTCTATCTCGAGGTGCTCTGTCGGGGAACGGAGGGCCAACGGATTCGGAAGTAGAGATCTCCAACGGGAAAAGCCGGGGCACTGGACGAAGCAGAATACCATTTCTTGTCTTGACCCTCGCTAGTCTAACTATTCCGTCTTTACTGGGGAAAAGCTCGACTATCTTGGCTAAAGGCCAATGTATGCGTCGTCTCTGGCTGTCTTCCAATAGAACGACATCGCCTACTTGCAACTGTTGAAATTTTCCCTTCTTTATTGCCTGTTGTCTCAACTGACCAAGATATTCATTACGAAATCTGTTTCGTAGATCATGTCTTATTCTCTGTCGGTATTTGGCTCGACGGTTTTAGTTCTTTGGAATCTACGTAGTCCATATCAGGAAACTCCAGATGACGGCAATTCTTGCAGAAACATCATAGGGGTCAGTGGTGATGGATCTTGATTATCCTCTGATACATATGTGATAGGTCGCGAATTAACTTCACTTGTTCACAGTCACATAATATAGTGTATAATTCTTCATAATTTAAGGACGTTCGACCTAACACTCTTCTTAAATTTTCTTTCACCATTCGCACAAGCCTCTCTCCCACCAACCTCCCCACCAGGCGGCGGTCGGAGGGTTGAACTTCCATCGTATCCTTTGGATAGAAGCAGCTGAACATATGGCGTTCCAATTAACTTTCTTAAGAATACTGTTAGTCCCTACAAAATTAGTTCTGTTGTCGGAATATATCACATAAAGTCTACCTCTTCTGGCAATGAATCTACGTAAAGATTGGATGAAAGTTTCTGTAGATAGAGAAGTAACTAGTTCGAGGTGAATGGCTCTATAAATGGCACATGTATACAAGACTATCCACGCTTTAGACCCCTCACGGAGATAGAGAGGACCCGCTAGATCTACACCGACGACTTCAAAAGTCGCCCCTTCTCTGACTCGATCTTCGGGTGGAAATCCTGGCTCGACTTCCACTCTTTGTGAAACAAATCTTTTACATCTTACACATTTTCTGATAATATTTCGAATACTTTTTCTGGATTTTAATATCCAAAAGTTTTCTCTAAGATTTGTCATTAAAGTGCTGACACCAGCATGCTGGAGTTCTAGATGTTTCTCGTAAATTAGTCTCTCAACAAGAATAGGTGTTTTGAAGGTAAAATGATAGGATATCGGAAATTTTCATTATCTTGACGCTGTAGGACGTTCGTTTTGGCTCTTAAAATTCCATTTTGGTCTACGATTGGTCTCAGCGCACGAATAGCGGGATCGTTTATGCCTGTAAATGATTCTTTCTGTACCAATCTACAAAGTGCCTTTTCAGCATTCTCCAATTCATCAACTGAGACATCAGGAGTGAGGTTTTTATCTTTGTTCTTTAAATTGTGATAAAACCTGAAAATCCAAGCGATCATTCTCACGTTTTTCTATATGAAGAGAAGTATTTGTAGTACCGGTCCAAATTGTCTCCATGATCTAGAAGAGTCAGAATCGTTTTTCCTTTTTTCCTTGTTTATAAGTTCTTCATCAGGCTTTTCTTCTACATGGGGCCACTCGTCTTCTGGTAAGTAAAGCCACGATGGGCCCTCCCACCATGCCGATTTCTGTAATTGCTCAATAGTACATCCTCTCGATGGGAGATCCGCTGGGTTTAAACTTCCAGGTACATGCCTCCAGTCAGATATTCTGGTAAGCGATCTTATTTCTTGTACTCGATTGTGAACAAACGTACCCCATGCTTGATCCCTTCTTATCCACCCCAAAGCTGTAGAAGAATCACTCCAGAACACTGTTCTACAATTCTTAAGTTTCAAATCTGATAGAATTGTTTTGGCAAGCCTGGCACCTATCAGACAGGAGAAAGAAGTTCAAAGCCGTGGAATCGTAAGTTCCTTAATAGGGGCTATTCGACTTCTCGCACTTACTAACTGAACCTTTACACCTTCAATGGTTTCAGCTCTTAAAAATGCACATGTGGCATAGGCTCTTTTACTAGCATCCGAAAAAACGTGGAGCACTACGGTATCTTCGTTTTCGTAATCAATATTTAACCAACGAGGAATTTCAATCTGAGATAGCAGAGGCAATTGGTTCAACCAAAGTCCCAAACTGCTCACTTAGGGGAAGAGGAAGATCTTCATCCCACTTAATCTTCTGGTTCCATGTTTCTTGCAAAATTAGCTTAGGAATTACAGTTATCGGTGCAGTAAAGCCAATGGGATCAAAAATTTTCTGGGTAATTGACAAAACTTTTCTTTTGGTAATAGGTTCCCTCAAGTTAAATATTTCTTCGATCTTGCAACTCAAACTATCTTTCTCTAAATCCCATACTAAGCCTAATACTGGGACAACTTTCGTCTTGTTCTCTATCTCATCGATCATGTCAATGCAAAAATTTGATCGCCAACATCTCAAATTGAAATGCCCCGAAGCCAAAATCAATCTTGCTTCTTGAACGAAATTTTCAGCTTCATCTACGTGATTTAAGCTAATGAACGAATTTAAAATGAATCTTTCAAAATATTAGAAGTTTCTACAAATTTTTCTGGGACTGTAGTCAAAAGGTGACTAAGTGTAGCGGCTAGCAGAAACGGACTTGATGTGAGTCCAAAAACAACTCGGTTATGTCTGTAAATTTTAAACTTATGTTGATTATCGAACCATAGAAACCTTAAAAAATCTCTATCCTTTTCTGCTATTTTGATTTGACAAAAGGCCTTTTCGATGTCAGATGACACTCCTATGTGATATTTTCGAAAACGATTCAATATACGTGGAATAATTTCTATTAAATTTGGTCCTTTACTCAAACAATCATTGAGAGAGGGTGAATTCTTAGAACGTGCAGATGCATTGAAAACAGGCCGTATCTTTGTAGTTTCACTAGACTCTTTTATTACAGGTCTGTGTGACAAGTAGTGCACTCCTTCCTCCTTTTCCTCAGTTACTACCTCAATAATATCCTTCGCTTCCCACTGATCAAATATTTCTTCGTAATCTTTTCTTCTGCGTGTGTTAATTAGTTTACTTTCGGTTTTGACGAGGTGTCTTTCTGCCACAGTACGGTTACTGGATAAGACGGATTTATCTAAAATAAAGGGTAAGGTTACTTCATATCTCCCTATCTCGTTTTACACTTTTTAAGAAATGTTTTCGGGTTTCTTCTTCCAAGGCACTTTTCGTTTTGTTTTCCTGACTTGAAATCCCCAAAGTGTCTAAACGCCAAAGATTGGACAAATTTGTATCGGAAACATGTAAGGATAAAGAAAGAACGGACAGGGAACTCGACGTATTCGCATTCTCTTTAATCTTGCCCATTAAAGTCCAGCCTAACTTGGTCTCAAAGGCTACGTAATCCCCCGCAAAATGTTCAATTCTTTCAGTGAACAATTGTGCTGCGGTGTCCGCTCCTAACAGCATATGAATCTCTTCCGGA